TTAGCATATTCATGGCAGTCGGGCAGTCGGGCAGTCGGGGAGCGAGGTGGGGATTTGACTCGTGCCTAGTTCCCTCACGGTAATTTCTTCACATGATCACCGGTATTTTGATGTACATGCTTTGAAGTTATCTGGCTTTGAAAGGTAAGTTTCCTAATTGTTTTTCCTTTCATTTCTTTACTTAAATTAATCCTTTGCGATTTTACCTTGAGCTTTCATGGTTCGTTGACTGGACATTGTTATTGTTATTCAAAACTTCTCAAACAATGCAGTTACACTCGTCTCTACTTATTATAAAAGGTGCTGTGTCACGGCTATCTGGTTCATTTTGTTAATATTGCCAGTTACGTGGTCCCTATTCGCTTTGAGCGTTACGTTGGCAAAGAAATGAAGAAATCAAAGCTTTGTTTTAAACAGATGTTTCTCCCAAGCATATCAAGCATTACGAACAAAAAACAATGAACTTTGAAAAACTGTCAGGTTAACAAGTTTTCAAAAACCACAATTTCAATCCGTTTTAATCTTCTTCACTTTCAATGTGTTGGCCTTCAAGAAGAAGAGGACTTGGTTGGGGAGTGGTTCTGCCCATCCTGTACTTTGGCTCCCTGATGCATACCGGTATCCACGATGTATCATATTTATATCTTGGTCTGTTATCATATTTGCCTTTTTGCTCTAGTAAATTTGTCAATAAAGAAGGTGAAAATTCGAACGAAATGTTAATAAAGTCAGTCAGGGAATTAAAAAGGTTTCCCCACCTGGGTGGGGGTTTTACCAGTCAATATGCCCCAGTAAGGTGGGAATTTGCTAAGATTTGTAATGATGTCAAGTCAAATCCCCACCTTGGCCCGGGGTGGGGGGGTGGGGGGTGGGGTCGGGGTTTCAATTGATAGGTGCATTAAGGTAACAGACGAACTCTTAGCGAATGGTGAATTCTACGCACCGTCAGAGAAAACGGAAAACTGGGGCTTTCTCTGCAGGCGCCTTCTCACCCCTTCCCGCGCTCACCTCGTGCTCTATAAAAAAATAACCATGATAAAAACTACCGAGCCTGGCGCCTGCTACGCAGGCTAAGAACTAACAAAACATCACGGTTGTTTAACCTCATATACCGTGAACCCTCTATCGTTTTGTTTTCCCGTTTTTGATTGTAAGGTCTTCCTTCCTCTACCCTGGAAGCAGAGGTTTTTCTCTTGTTCTCTTACATGGCTTTTAGCGTTTACGAAGTCGTTCGTATCGCTTGTCAGTCGCCCATTTCGTTTAGGCGAGAGAACGACTTCGTGAACGCTGAAAGCCATGCAAGAGAGGAACTTCTGCTCGCAGGGTATCCTTCCTCGTTTTCGGGCTAGTCTTTTTCCACACTACCTAGATTTACCTAGAAGACGAATGATAAGAGTTATCTATTAATGGCTCAGTCAATTCCAGGCGTGCCCATCCCCTTTGGCAGTTTGGTTTGGATGCATAAATAACCTTGGTTGCATAAATAACCAAATTTTCTTTCCCATGGTGCTCCGCTATAAATACAGTAGATTACGTTTTAAAAGTTCACTTAATCACTTTTTTTAAAAGTTTGTTTTCCGCAACACTGAGCCATTTTATTTGACTGAGTTAAATTCGACGTCTGAAATCAACTCGTGCTACAGACGTGTTTAGAGTCGTGCTGAAGTCGAGCCAGCTTAAAACGGCATTAGCACGGCGTTTGAAACAGGCCTGATTCACCCTGGAAATCGCTTCTTATCTCATTTTTATTATGGATTGCATATATTACAAACACAATATTACACCGTGGAAAAGATGATCAAATTGTATTCTTATACCTGAATAATACTTAGAATTCTCCTCTTTTTTCTAACACAACATACACGATTTAAACAAGAAATGAGAGGAAAAACCGGAGTGGAACGGCATTAAAAAAAAAAAAACGGCGAGCCAAGCGGTGGACTGGGGAGGGGGAAAGGGCTCTGAACCTTGACCTTTCCCCCGGCAAGATAGTATAGCTCGGTTCTTTGTAATAATATTTCCACCTCTATGTTGCAGGTTGCTCATTTTACGCAAGAAACCGACCCGTTTAAAGCTGTTATGTGCCCTTGTCGTGTTTGTCGGTCTTTTTATTTCCCTCATTCCAACAATTTTCCCACAAGTTGATCCCAAGGCAGAGAAAACAAAGAACGAAGCCCATGGCGCGTCAAGAGTGTTGTGGCCAATCATCTTCATGCTTGGATTTGTAAGTACCTCTTGTTTGTTCCGCACAAAAATCCCATAAAGTGAAAGATGGGAGACTTGAGCTCAGACAGAAAATAGGGAAACTTTTAAGGAACAAGATTGGTTCAAAATTAAGGTGTGAAAATTCCTTGTCTTCAGGCCTAGAATGCAGATAGAGGGGGTATGAATAAATCGTCCTTCCCCTGGCTTGCTGGTCTAAAATGTCCCAGTCTTCTCCCCTAAAGGGGTGACCTTCGGAGTTTTTATCTTTTCTTACTTGATGTAGTAAGAAGTCTAGCTGACATAGATCTTTATTATCACTAAAAAAACACCTTGTATTGTCTTGCCTTGCAATTGCCTCCGATCAGAGCTTTGCTTAGTTTTTCTTTCACTTTCTCCCTAGGTTCCAGCAGCCGTTATGAATGTGTTAGAGGAACGGGGTGTAAAGATGGAGATTACGGAAAGCAAGGGATCAAAAAAGGGAATCAACTTGGTTTATTTTCTATTCTGGACCTCGTTGTACCAACTGCTTTGCGTGTCTTTGTTCTTTTGGGCGGATTTCCTTCCCTGGTATGGCCAAGTGGACAATATCAGAGAATTTGGAAAAAAGTACGTTCTTTTGTTTTGTTGTCAGGGCGAAAATTGGTTGGCTTGTCACACCACCTCATTTAAAAAGTGCGAGTTGGAAAGGGATTTTGCGCGTTTTTCCACCCAAATATGTTGCAGTAAGTAGAAGGTAGCCATACTTTTCGCAACAAAACTCCGCTGTACCCGCTGCGCGTTTTACCGGCCCAACTCCAGTGTATGGCGCGACTCGCGCGCAGTTTTATCCAATCAGAAGTCAGTATTCACGCAACTTGCAGCAACCTGATTTGTGGCAAGGCAGATTTGAATGTGTGGTGGTTAATGAAACGCGCAACATCACTTTTCAGCTCGTTTCCAATGCTGTTGTTGATGATCCTGTTTGGAGAAATCGGATTTATTTTTTTTTCATAAAGAGCGATCTTTTCTCTCGTCTTTTTTGTAGCTGGTGGTACGGAATTCAATGCTTCTTTCACGGAGCAGGTTGTAGTTCCACATCAGGTATCAGAGGAACCATGTTTATCCTCATGTACGTGGTATCTTATGTTGGTGGAGCAAATCTTTTGAGACACGCTGAGGGAGCAACCTGGTTGGCGATTGTCACGGTAGAACGACTCACACTAAGGGACGGACCATTAGAAAACTTATGGGGGTGCGGGCGAAGTACAAAAAAATATATTCGCGCAAGGGAAAATTAAATGAAAAAAATTCTTGCACGCCAATTAATCCTAAAAAATATTCATGCTGTGGCCTAACAAAAATTCTTACATGGAATTTGATAACGAAAAAAAATTCCTGCGGCTCGAAAATTCCCCTCCGCCCCCAATAACTTTTCTAATGGTCCGTCCCTAAATTGACCTTCTCTGCGTGGAATTAATATTTTAGAAAGGAGCTGGTATTGAGTCTTATTTTCCCTAGTCCCTAGGCCTCAGTTGCGCGTGGCCGATGCGTTTCGGGTCACGTGGTCCTAGCGAGTTTTTGAGGCTACGTCAGCGAGTTGGCCGACAAGTTTTTTCGTCGGATATTATGCACTAACAATCTTACATATGTACCAAGTTCATTTTCCTGAAGAAAATGAGCCTGGGGCAATTTTCTTTAACTTCTGTTCTTCTGTGATATCATTATTCAAACTTCGTTCAAAATTTGAAGTCTTGCAAAGGGGAAACCATCACGCAAGACATAATAAATGAAATTAATTTATAAAAATGTCTTAGAATTATGGATTCTGTCCGAGAAACCTGGATTCTGAGGCAGGTTTCGCCATTGCCAGTGACGTTAATGATTTTTATTGCTTTTGTTTCACGTAGTCACTCGTTACACCTTTAGGATTCATTTTCTGGACTTTGTTCACTGAATCACCGTTCAAGTGGCACCCGGAAGGTCACGTGAGCACCTGGTTCAGTATCGGCGCGCTTGCGCTCATGGTTCCCGCCATTTTTGTTTACAACGTGGGGTAAGAATTAAATATCGTATTAACTAGAAAGACTAACTCCCTCGAATGAGCGCCGCATCATTCCACCTTCATTGCGGCATTAATTTTTTTCTTGGCATTCGTTGTTGTTTTCTTGACATCGTTAATGCTGCAGACTTGCCGACCCCTAAAAGTAAAAAAAAAATGTGAGATTCTGAACCTAGAGCTGCGAAAAGAAGTAAGAAATTAGTAAAACGTCCTGAGATGTCCCAAATTTCCCAGTAAAAGGACTTCCAGGTTTCAGTGGAGATTATGGTTACTGGAAATCACTAAATTACTTTAAAGCTGGAGCAGTAAACATCACGATCAATTCTACAATTACATGTAAGGTTTTGTAATATCTGTGTTTTGTTGGCACCATCTTGAAACAAGAGAAACAGTAAGTCTGCACATTTGGTGGCAGCAGCAAGCCGCGGTAGGCTAAAAGAATGTAATCAAACGCGACCTACTCAGGGGCACCCAACGGGAAATTTTGAGAAAAAGACCTAAAAACAACAACAAAGCGTGAATAAAGTTTTCTGAGGCTATTTTAAGCATTTTGGGGGATTGCTGGAAAAAAATTATCTGTTCCTCACTCCCAGCAAGACTAATGGAAGAGTTCCCAGCCAGCAACCTTACAACCTCCAACCTGACTTACTGGGAAGTTTCAAAGGGCACAATTCAGATCTTGAGTGGTAAGTAACCCATACAAGTAACCCGTAGCAGCTATTCTAGACTTCAAGTCCCCTCTGACACCTTGAATTATCTTTTTCCCAGCAACACTTTCCTTTCAAGGACTATTATTTCTTCCACATCTCCCAGCCAGCAAAAATGTGCCTGAAGAACAGATATTTTGAGGAACAGATCCAGTGGGTGCCCCTGCCTACTAAGCGTTTTCTTTGGGTTGAGCTGGCTATCTATTGGAAACGAACCCTACAGGTCCAAAGTTTTTTGGAGTTTGACTTTTCGAGAAAGCGTAAAAAATCAGTTGTCAAATCGTGAGAGCGTGAAACAGGTTCTAAAATCGTGAGTGGCAAGTCTGATGCTGATCATAGTTTAGTGGGGTGGAGCTGCTTTTCGGCTGAAGAAACGCGTGTAACACTACTAAGGAGGCCTGTCTCAGTATATTGGGCCTTTATTTTGGAAAGAACAATAATAGACTCAATTTCGACAATATGGAAACTTTTTAATTGCATCTTTTGGACATTGGGTCTATATTAGTTTGAGGGTTTTTTTTAGTCGGTCGAATCCCGAGATAAATTTTCCTGGAGGTAGAACTGTTTTAAAAATACCCTCTTCTCATAATGTAGTTTGTTTCTTTGTTTTGTTTTTCCTTTCTTTTCTTTAATGGTAAAGATTTCTCGCGCGCTCTATCGGCCATTTTCGAACTGCTTGTGAGCAAGCGCGAAGCTGCGAGGGTTCGCGTCTCCTGTCGCGTGCCTCTCGCGCGTCTACTTTTCACGATATCCCCCAAAAGGAGAGCTTGCTCGTAGGCTACCAGTGGGACTGGGACAGGTCAGTCAGTGTTGTATCGAATTGCATTATGGCACTCTTTTGGGGAAAATATTTTGACCCAGAGTACTCCAGTGCAATTTTTGTGTTATCATTAAAATATGTGATAGCGTCCCCAAAACATCCCCATTGCGCAATTCGTACCCATCGAGTCTCACTCAAAAAGTCAAAATGGTCAAATTTCATCTAACTCTGTTTTCTTTGTATTCTTTTAGAGCGCCTGAGATTTCCTTAAATGCAGGTGAAGACCACAAGGGGTTTATCCATTCAGATTCTATTGGCGAATACAACTCTGTTGAAGGTGGCTTACATCAACCTCTTCTCTCAGACGCCACTCAGCCAACTAGCTATAGCGTTTAATACATGACGCGAATTCCTCAATTAATGGTATTACCCTTACCCTCTCAAAGAGGTTTTTAGAGATAATCTATAACAAACAACATTGCAAATGAATATTACTAGTGTGGCCGAAAATTTGAACTCGAGAGTACAGTACCTAGAAACGAATCCCGGCTTGTTCACCACCTAACCACGCCCTAAGCAATTCTTCTTGTTTTTACTGAGTTTCATTTAAAATTTCATGTGATTATTGGCGAGTATAACGAGCTGCAAGTTTATAAATAAACAGATCCACTAACAGACACAAAAGGCTTTATTCTAGCCTCTTAAAATGCCTGTCTTCCTGTCCAATGGTAATCATTGGAGACATCAAGAAACAAGAGAGAATGAACTCCTTCTCGATCTCTCGAAAAAATCTTTTTTCAGTGCAATCTTCTTAGCTTGTTCCTGACATTTAGATACTAGATAGCCTGCGAACGCACACTGACGTATTTCTGGCCGTCACTTCTTTTGGAAATCCCCCACGTCTCTCTACGTTTGCAAGGCTCAGATTTTGTATATGTCGCTCGCACAAGAAAGATACACACTATTTAAAGGCGACTTACAAAATAATTTCCGAGTTCCAAGAACTCTCACTTTCAAAACGAGCCTAAGTGCTTGTGGAATTTAAAATGAATTATACTGTATTTGCAAGAGAATAATAAAAAAAAAAACTTCTTCATATCAATAGCTTCACACTTCAAAACACCTTTAAAACAGAGGCTTGCGGTAACTCAGAAATGGCCCATTAGTTTCGTCCTAGACCTCCTCAGTTGATCGCCATATATACAATAAAAATATCAAAAAAGAGTAAACAGATATTTCAAGTAACAATGCATACATTGTGATGCGGACATAGTTGCGCGACCATTGACCCTTCACGGCTGGTTTGTTTAGTTTGACATGAAAGAGTTTAATCCGGAAGACAAAGTAGGTAAGGTAAGGTGAAGGCGCACACAAGCCAAAGGCCCAAACGGCCCGGAGCTTATCCCGGTTTCCTTAGCATGAAGCACGCCTAGGACTGCTAGGAGTATTGCTACTCCCCCCTGGACAAGATGCTAGTCCATCGCAGGGTTACCCCCAGTACTGAGTATGTCGCCGGTACCCATTTATACACCTGGGTGAAGAGAAACATGTCAAAGTGGAGTAAAGTTCCTTGTCCAAGGAAACAACGCGACGGGCGAGGCTTGAACCCCGGAGTTCGAGCAGAGGTGGTATTAAATTAAGCGCTCGGCCACACATGCCTCCACTGAAAACAAAGTACTTTTCTTAAAATAGCCTGAATTTCAGACGTTTTCTACGAGTCATCATTACTCCATCAGTAACAGCAAAAACGACTCGAAGTAATCGTCTAGGATATTGTTAAAATAGTTGTTTCTCACTCTTACACCAGTGTTATTAGTCACGAGCTGTCGTGTTCGGATATTTTGCCATATTTCTGATAATTACCAATAAAACTCTTGACTGAAAATTAGAGGAAAATCCTCTCTTCCCGAAACTTTCTGTTTCTCATCGACATCTACCCTCCCCTCTCCCACCTTAATTTCTCTGTTTCCTCCCCTGAAAAATCCCCTCAGCCCTCCCCATTGTTTTTCTTTATTATGGCACCCTGCAGAGTTTTGCCGGTAATTTGACATGACAGAAGTTATGTAATCCGATCCCAAAACTGCAGATGAATCGGTTTTATGCTAGCCTGCGAGCAGGCTCATTCGTATTTTTAAAAAGATCTCCACGGGACGAACAATTCCTTGCTGAAGGTTTTTGGTTTTGAACTCGACTGAAGCCAGGGACTGAAGACCGGCCGGCGGACCCCAGCGGATTTATAGCTCGACCCGGCCGAAGTAAGCTTATCTCTTTACGCCATGAATACTTCTCCAGAAGATTACGAGCCACCTGTACTAGACAACTTTGCCTCTGCAGAGAGTGTTCCACTTTTTAGATCTTCAGAGAAACAACCTCGAATAAGGCATTTGACATCATGTTGTTATTCTTCACGCAATTTCGCCACACTTCTGTTTGCCATAATGAGCGTGACAGGGCAAATAGCACAATACGTTTCACTACCATTATGGATAGACAGTACATCACAGCCAACGATCTCTTCTACAAATCAATCGATAAAATGGAAACCAACAGTGGACAGTTATTTCGTAGCTTCATTCGCTGCTCTTTCGTTCGTAATTGTATTTGGCTTTGCTCTGCTTTGCTGTAATATCATTTGCCCAAATAACTTCACGGAAATAGACTGGAGTTATCGTCGTTTGCTACTCCTGCTTGGTTCCATTCAAGGAGTGTCCGCTCTATTTATTGTGTTTTCTAGCAGTGGGAAAAGGACACCTCCTTATTTGCAGGCAATTCTTGGAAATTTCAGCATTCCCATAACACTATTGTTCCGGTAAGAATCAAGTATTTTGGGCAATAGACCTATCAGCTTGTAAGTTTTGTTTTCCCAATACAGGTCATGTGATAATACTGTAGAGAGCTGTTTCTTTTCAAATTTCGTCTTATTTACTATTCTTATTCCTTGAGACCTCTATTGGGAAAACAAACATACAAGCTAAAGAGATCTATTTTGCAATTGCATGCATGTAGCAATTATGCAAAGCTGCCATATATTAAGTTAAATATTTTACTTTGAACTCACCATCTGTCTTCTCATTGGCTAAGATCGCCTACAATTAATTTTGGAAATCAGCGCATATATGAAAACTCAGCCGTTGAGACCTCAGACTCCTAGATGTCTTGAAGACTCATGTCTGGAAAACTCAGACCCCCAAAAAACTCAGACCCCTTTTTAATATGGATATGATCAGGGATGATATCACAGGGTGATTCAGGTCGACCATGACAATACCCCATCCTTCAGGGAATGACTGTGTATTTTAAAATTGGCGAGAGTTTTTCTGTTTGTTGGATATAACATATCAAAAATCCTAGTGACCTAGAAAACATCTGTGCCTTGGAAATAATTTGTTGTGCCTTGACCTGAAATGAACGAAAACACGCATTATACAACCTGGTTAATTATGGACACCGACGGGACATGTCATAGCATCTGTTGTTGACTTTAAAACCTTTTCCTCTCGTTTGTTAGCTGGCAGCTGACTTGTTTGTTTCAATATGGTAATCTATATTGTGACATGGTGAAAGTATCATGCAATGCCTCCCATCCACGCCCCCCGGCACCCTCTCTCTCGCCTCTCGCTGCTGAGTCAGTTGCATGCACTCTGCTATCTCAAAAAATAACAAAAATAAAAGAGAGAGAGGGACTGCTCGTGGTCTATGGTAAGTTATAATAATTTGAAAACATTGAAGTTAAGGTCTGTGTTTTCGAGGCACCCAAGGGTCTTGGTTTATTGGGGGTCTGAGTTTTCGTGACACCTCAACCTACAGATTCTGTAGGTAATTGGCATACAATGGCATGATTTCCAAGAGCATGTCATCGGTATGTTTGTCATTATTTTCTTTAAACAAATTATGATTATTGAGTAAAAGTCAATATTAGATTTGTTTGTTTGTTTGTTTGCTTTTTTGTGGAATCTTGAAAATAAGGTCTTGCTAAGAGGGCTGAGGCCAATAACACTTAATCAGACCTTGATTATTCCAGATATCACAAAAACTTATTAAGTGGACATGCATCCCCTATAGTTATGGCCCCTACGTAGTTCCTGTAAAGCTGATTAAACTATCCTCCAATTATAGTGCTGAATCCACAGCTAAATTACATATAATTTCCCTGATGACAAATCGTGTGTTAAAAAGGGGTTCCTAAAAGCCAAAGTATCCCAGGATTGATTTATATGAGAAAAGTGGTGAAATGAACCAGCCTAACTAGTTTTTCACATGCATGCTTATGTGAAATATATGGTGTGAAAAATGTTTATGTGCAGGTCTCAGTAATATTGTACAATAAGAATTTGTAGTGCATGATTTTTGCAGGGGTACAGTTTTGAACCCAGGCCTCAATAGAGATGGTACAGCTGACTCAGTTATGACCAGTGCTTTAATTATTAGTGAACGGATGCTTCCACTCAGAAAACCATTTTGACAAGAGAAAACAAGATTGACTATTCCAGAAGTTGGGCTTGGGCGACCTCCAATGCTTGACACAGTAGATCTGTTCAGCTTGTAATGTTTTGTTTTCCCAGTAGAGGTCCCAGGGGAACTTGACCCTTTGTCTTTTCATAAATCATGCATAGATCATGCATGTGAATAAGACAAAATTTGAAAGAAACAGTTCTCTAGAGTGTTGTCACATGACCTGTCAAGGGAAAACAAAACAAACAAGTTAAAGAGGTCTATTCATGGCAGAGCCCTCCGTTTCTCTCCAGAAGACAAAACTAAGGCGAGGCTCTTCTTGCAGGGTGATCTAGGCCCTCCTGCATGCTGTAACTAATTGATCATTGTTGTTGTTTTTTATTTCAGGTTTCTTTTTTTAAAGAAGATTCCCACCATGAGAAAGCTCCTATCTGCAGCCTTTGTTGTCCTGGGTCTTTTTATTTGTCTCATTCCGACAATATTTCCATGTATAGATCCCAAAGCCTCAACCAAGCATGATCTGGGAGGAGCAACTGGACTTGCTAGAATCTTTTGGCCCATAGCTTTTATGTTTGGATTTGTAAGTAGAAATTGGTTTCTTGCAAGTATTATATTGTATCTTAGTGTTTTTTGGTTTCCTTTTTTTATTTTTGTTTGTGGCAATACCTGCTGTAAAGTAGTGATACTTGCAGTACTGTAATCAGCTAAGCATATTAGACCACATTAAAAAAGGTTACTTTCTTCCTTACTTTACTTACAAGCAGTACTTATAATATAACCAGTGACTCTTCTTGACTGAATGTCTGATTCATTCATTACCTTTGTCATTTGAAGAAAAGAGAATTAAAGTGATATCCTAAGTATATCAATCCTCTTATTAGCATTTTTGTTATCACTTCAATGTAAGGCTATGCTCACACTATATACCAGGTAGATTTTCATGGTGCTATGACAACCCTCAAAGTTGCGACCATTTTGGTCGCCATGGTGCCTAAAGTTTTGGAGCTGGCAACTTGATTTGTAGAAAAGTCTCCCTAAACCAAAAGAGTTAGTTGCCAAATGGCGACCAAGCAAAAACTTTAACTTGGAGGGTTATATGGAAAGCTATTGGTGAACACCTCTCTGATATGCGACTCTCTGCTTTGGCGAGTGATGTGACACAGCTTCTCTCTGTCACAGAAATTGCGCTGCCACAAACTTTCTTGTGTGTGCAGTGGACAGAAGCTCCATCCAGTACGATTTCCATGGTGGTACAAACGCTTTGTTGCATATATAGTGCGAACCAAAAATTTCACACCTCTGTTAGTGACATATACAGAACTCCTATGGTTAGGTTAAGATCATAAAATTAGTTTGGCTGACAATTTGATGGCAAATGATTAGTACCATGTAGTAACAGTCTTTTATATGGCCTGCCGGAGTATCAACTCAATAAGCTACAGCGTGTGCAGAACATGTGTGCTAGATTAATATGCAATGAAAGTAAAATATTACCACATTACTCCTTTATTAGTAGATTTACATTGGCTGCCTGTAAAGTTCAGAATTGAATTTAAAATCCTGTTGATTGTTTTTAAGATTTTTAAGGGCTTATATAGCACCTTCATACTTAAGATTTTTAATTACTCTTAAGCCTGTATCTAAATATAATTTAAGAAGTTCCAGCGACAGTACCCTACTTAGTTATCTGAATGTTAAGCCCAAGGCAACTCTCGGTGAACGGGCCTTTCTGTTTGCTGCACCTAAGCTATGGAATGCTGTGCCGAGATTTATTAGGGAATCCATTTCAGTTGACACTTTTAAGAGAAAGTTGAAGACTCACCTTTTTAAAAAAAGCATTTTGTACCACTTAGATTATAAGATTGTATTTTTAGCTTACTAGACTATAAATAATTTTCAGCTTATAATTTTTAAGATTTTGCTAACAGATTTTATCTTTTTAACTTTTAGCCATTAGTTTTTCTATTCTATATCTATATTATCATCTTATTTTATCATTTTTACTATCATAATTATTCATAATTTTTATTAGTAGTAGTATTATTGTTTTGTTTTGTTTTTGTTTTTTGTTTTTTTTTCCCCATGGCGCATTTGAATATATTTATATAGATATTTGCGTCTTATAAGTTTTTGAAATTAATTAATTAATTACCATGCAGCTGACTGTTGACCAACAGTCGGCCGACAAACGACTGACAGTGAGCCAACAGAGCAAGGGAATTAACTTGTATATTCTGAGTCAATTTCTGCAATCTGTAGAGACATTCCAGAACCAATCGTTTGATAACTTTTTGCTTGAAATAATCCCTAGATGTGATGTGATGTTTTCATAAATAATTTTTTTTACATAAATGTTAATATGTAAAATTGTAAAAAAATAATATGCATTAAGGTAATTTTTTATTTCATTTTCAGTAAATAATTAGAATTACATAACTGTTAACTATTTCGTTCTTGTTTTGTTTTGTTTGTTTGTTTGATTTCTTTTAAGGGAATTACAGGCACTGCTTTTATTGTTGAAGAGAAAGCTGTGAAAATGGGAGGAAATGTCGGCCATAATTCTCAAGCTAGCTTGTTATCTGTCTTGTTCTGGACCTCATTATCACAATTTCTAGCTTTGTTGCTACTATTCTGGACTGACATAATCCCTGGCTTTGGACATACAAACAACATTCATGAATTCATTGCCAAGTGAGTGCTTATGAATAGCAGCCATTATACACCTTATATAATATTTCAAAATCTCAGTGGCACTGTTTAATTTTAATTTTTTTAATTTTTAATTTAGGCAAAATTAAACTTGAAGCAATGCTGGTCAGCAGTCTCCTCAGCTATACAAGGGGTGGCCTGATGCCTCTAGCAGGGGCACCTCGTGACTTATATATGCAGTTGCTTGCTTGCAGTTCGTCGCAAAGTGTTGTTGCAATAGCTTGCTGTTTGCATGCCATTTTGTGCTTTGGGCTTTATGTTTGTTTGTTTCATTTCTGGCAGATTCGATTCAGCATTCGTCAATTAAAGTATATTTATCTGCAGTTCACTCCTTGCACAGTGAGCAAGGTTTTCCTGACCCTTTGCTTAATTGCCTGCGGCTTCAACGGGTGTTAACAGGGGTCAAGGGTTCCCAAGGTTCCCCGGCTGCTCGTCACCTTCCGATTACCTACATGCTGGGTTATTTTGGTTTTCTCAGTGCTGCAGAATTTACAGTCCCCAATTTAGCTAGCTTTTCTCCAGCTAGTCATCTGTCAGTAACAGACATCACAGTGGATTTGCTCCAGTCGCCAACCTGCCTCCGTGTTCGGATAAAAGCGTCAAAAACAGATCCATTCCGTCAGGGTTGCCACATCCATATTGGTCTGGGAAGGGCACCCCTCCGCGCAGTTCAGGCTTAGCTGGCTTACCTCTCCTTGCGAGGAAATGTCCCTGGCCCCTTGTTCTTACTGGCCAATGGTCAACCTCTGTCTCGCTCAATCCTGACTGATTGGCGGCGGCAAATTTTCTCCACCGCAGGGATTGAGGGCAATTTGTCCAGCCAAGGCTTCCACATTGGGGCAGGCATGGTAGCAGCTCGCAATGGTATTCCAGACCACCAAATTCAGGCTCTTGGACGTTGGCCTAGCAATGCTTACCAGCTTTATATCCGCACACCTTCTGAAGCTCTTGCGGGCATCTCTAGTCAGCTCGTTTGACATCAGGTGTCGTTGCCATTTGTTATCCACAGCTCCTTTGACATTGCAGTCGAGTTAAGTACTGAATTGCCCTGGGCTTGCACCGCGGTTTTTTGGTGTTGCTCTCACTGTCAGCTGAATTCCGTTGGTAAGTGTGTTGTCTGTTTTTTTTTTTATGCAACTGCTGCAGCTTGGTGCTTGGGGTTGTTGGAGTCGCAGGTTCCATTTCATCCTTTTTTACTGGCCCCTCCTTTTTCAAGCACCAAGGAGATTTTGGTTGGGTGGGGCCGCACGCAGGGTTGCCATGGATACCTCCTCCTCATGCTAAAACATTGCCCGGCTCCACCAACTTTGTAGGCACCAATGCCCAAGCTCATCTATTGGTGATGAGTTTAAATGTGGCTAAATGTAATTTAGGCAAAGTTAACCTCGAAGCAATGCTGGTCAGCAGTTTCCCCAGCTATACTAGGGGTGGCCCGATGCCTCTAGCAGGGGCACCTCGTGACTTATATTTGCAGTTGCTTGCTTGCAGTTCTTCGCAAAGTGTTGTTGCAATAGCTTGCTGTTTCAAGCCATTTTGTGCTTTGGTTTTTTCCCATCCCGCCCTCCCTCTTGAGGTATGGGCCAGGTAAGTATTGGTCGGTAAGTATTCCACTGAATTGTTCAGTGTGACTGTGCCTGGTGGGGGCCGCTCGCAGGGTTGCCATGGATACCTCTTCCTCATGCTAGAGCATTGCCTGGCTCCACCAACTTTGTAGGCACCAGCGCCCAAGCTCATCTAATTGTGATGAGTTTAATTATATTTATGCTAATTAGCCTTCTTGCCTCAATTGCACTTGCTGTAGAATTAAAGAGATAAATTTTACCTTAAAATGAGGCATCGAGGGTTAGTCATCATAAAGACAATAATAAAATGATTTGATGCCATCTCAGAATAAGAAAAATCAAACAAAGTAACAGTATTTGTTGTTTCAAACGTCGATCATTATCAATATTATAATTTTTTAGGTGTTTCTTGTCAAATGCTTTATTTAAGTTATATTATTGGGTTAGAGCCCTATAATGTGATTTCTCAGAAAACATTAAAATAGTAAGTTAACATAGCTTGCATGTGCAAACAACATTGGAGAGTTCAGATTTAAAAATAAAATTTTTGCATGTCCTATTGTTTGTTGTTGTTCTTTTTTTCACTCAAAGAACTTATTAATAATAAAATAACTTTGAATTAGGCTAGGGGTGGTCAGATATCAATTCTGTTGATACAATCACTCCTACCCCTGCAAAAAAAAGCCGGGAGAGCCAAGAAAAGCCAGGAGATCCTGGCTTTCTTGGCTTTTCCAGGCTTTTTCCTCAAAAAAGCCTGGAAAAGCCAAGAAAAGGAAGGATTTCCAGGCTTTCTTGGAAAGCCTGGGTTGTCATTCCAGGAAAAGCCTGAAGAGCCAAGAGTTCACTCTTGGCTTTCACAGAAAGCCTGGAATTTGATCACTCTATCAAGAGCAAGAAAAGCCACGAAAAGCCAGGATAACTGAAAATTTTCCTGTCTTTGAAGGAAAGGCTGGAGTGACTAACTGCAGTGTTGCCAAGAATAGCCAAGAAAGCCAGGAATGACATTTACTGAAATTTAAATTTCCTTCCTTTCAAGGAGAGGCTTAAAACACACACAACCACACAAGAAGTGTAGTAACGTTAGCATATATCTATAAGACCCTCCACTGATACATGTACTTCCACACAGTGAAATGTTTATTAGCTGGACTTAAAATAATGATTTGTCAAAGTTTTCTGTCTGTCTTTGTCAAGTCAGTATTTGGTATCTGCCCAAGGAATTCTTAATAGTATATGGATTATTTTGTTATTCAAGGGTTATTTGAAAAGATCTGTTGAAACAAATTTGTTTTCATTTTAAAGAGGGAAAATAATAAAGCAAAGTTTCTTCAGCTGAATGTTGAAGATGAACTCCTGACTATGATACCAAGCAATGATCAATATAAACAATGTAATTGCTAAACAATCGTCTTTTAGAATCAATAAAATTAAAGTAACGATGAAGAAGATGTTGTAAGCTCAAATTTTTTATTTTCCTGACCATTTGTTTTTTGCTAGCTGGACTTTTGGATTTCAGTGTGTATTTGGTGGAGCAGGTTGTTCCTCTGTGCCAGGTGTACTTGCATTTCTGTTTATCCTGGGTTACATCATGGCAGTCAGTGGATTTGCTCTGCTTCTGCGCTACGCTGAAGGAGCAACATTGTTAGCTATAGTGTTGGTGAGTGTACTTCATTGTCCTTTAATCCTTTCACTCAATTTCCTATACTAATTCATAAAATAGTAGCGTGTGAAATGTGGTCATTATTTATTTATTTATTATTTACTCATTTACTATTATTGTAATAATCATAGTTCCTTTGCCCGAGCACCCACTAGTGCAGGAATTTCCTGATTCAGCCCCCGTTCGATATATTAAAATTCTAATGTGACTCTGAGGCTTTTTTCTATATTTGGTTTGGTTTTCCTTGTGCTCAAGTCCCTTCTGGGAATTGCAAAACAATGGAGGCTTAAAAAGTTTGTAATTTTGACCCTAAAGTCTCAGAGTCATGTTAGAATTTTAATAAATCGAACGTGGACTATTAAGTCAAAAGATTATTTTTTTGTGGGGGGGGGGGGGGGGGGAAAGGGGGGGGGGGGGGGGGGGGGGTTGCGTGGGTAAAAAACACCAACCTCGAGGGGAAGCAGAGGTCCTTATTTTGAAGTAACCCTTCCCCCCACCCCCACGCCGTATTTGTAACAATTTTTTTTTTTTTTTCAGAGTGCTCACCCCCCAACTATACATCTCTTCTCCCCCCCCCTCTCTTTTTAATTTTAAAATTTTTTAATTTTGACATAAAAAGCATTAGATAATATTTAATTTTTTAAATGAGGGGGGGGGGAAATAAAGAAAAAATTTTTTTTGTGGGGGGGGGGGGGGGGGGAGGAGATAGGGGAGGAAGGGAGGGGGTGATTACCTTGAATCATAAACTCAACCTAGAGGGTCAGCAGATGTCCTTAGTCTGAAGTATCACTTGCCACCCATCCAGCTGCGTAGTTAGGACAACAAGCTGACAAACCTCCTGAACAAGCTTGGTGACAAGCCCAAAGTGTGAACGATACTTTTAACTGAAGAGTATTTTTGTTTTTATTTCAGTCATTATGCACTCCCCTAGGGTTTGTATTCTGGATGTTGTTTCAGGAGCACCCATTCCACTGGAACCCGACTTTACACACAAGTTCATGGTTCAGCATTGCTGCCTTGCTAATTATGATTCCTGCTGCTTTTATATACAACACTGGGTGAGTGTTAATTTATTAGTTTAAAAACTAGACTGTAAGCAGTCCACTCCATGCATAACCGCACTTTAATTTCCTCCCCTCTCTTTTTGCTTTTCGTGCCTCATTTTTTTTTTTTTGCTGGGCATTTGGTAGGCTTCATTTTGGTGGAAAATTTTTCAGGGAAGGTTTTAGGATCTTAGGATTAGATGAAAGGAAAGGTAGGTGGGCAGTGGAACAATATTTTCTTGGAAATTTTCAGGTCAATGTTAAACGGTTTTTTGCCTTTTTCTTCGGTGTCCTTTACTGCCCCTTCTGGTATGGTTTGAAAGATCTCTTCACTTTGCACTTCACTCCTTGACCATTAAAACTGATGATGTCACAAGCAGTAGAAGGGATGTGGATCCGCACCGGTGGTTACGGGCAGCTCAGGGGCGAATTTGTTGAAAGAAAAGATGCACTGCAAGCAGTAAATCAGAAACACATTTGTTGAATTGATGATAGCTTATTTTATTGTGTTTATTTGTTATATCATTATGTCAGCTAATCTTGTTCAAATATTAATATTGTTGTGTAGTGGGGAGACTCTATTTTGATGACTTCTTTGTTTCTTTTTTGTCTTTGTGCATGCTGCAAGCTTTTACACTACACTTAAGATAAGCCATATAAATATTGCGAAGTTCCCCAGTGATTGCATCACTTTATATCTCCCTTAGCTCTTTTTGGTCATCTCTTTTTCCATTTAGGATTATTATTCTTGAAGTGCATTATTATTATTTTTATTCCTTTACACAGATCACCAGAGAGAGAAAGGGAAAGACAAGAAATGGCTCCTGCTAATCCTTGAAAAAAGTTTAAAAAAAAGTTATATTGACAATAAATCCAATTTGAGCTTATAATTAATTACCACTCAGAATTTGTAATAAATATAAATTAATTGGCACCTAGGACACTTTCCAAAAGTTAGAACTTGCAGGACAAGCCGATCATTCAAAATGAAATTTAAGTTTCAGCTGTAGGCCCCAGGGTGCAACGAAAATCATTTTTACAGCTTGCCATTCCGGCAAGTTGAAGCTAGCATTTACTAGGCCAGACGTCATTTCAGCTAGCCCCAAAAGCTTTTTGACGAGCAGAATTGATTTCACAGTTCTTGTTATTAGAATTCCTCAAAACACATCACTTGCCCGTCGGGCAAGTTAAAAACAGAATTCACTAGCCCGATAGCAAAATCCACTAGCCCCGGGCTATCGGACACTACTTTCTTTGCACGCTGGTAGGCCCTTTTGTTAAAATTCCATCACTCAGGATTCGTGACAGTACAGGTCATGGAAAACCTGGTAAGTCATGTTGAACTGAGTTATTTAAAAAATATATATACATACTGTATATCATAAACGAGATTTAGTTTTGAAACTAAGAAGGTCATGAAAAACTGGAGAAGGTCATGGAGAAAGCCGTGGAAAATTAGGGAATGTGAAGAGCTCACTACAAACCCTGTCACTTCTATGCATTTTATTTAGATCATTGAGTAGACTGGTCTGTCTTGAAAGAAGCGTCCCTACACTTTTTTTGATTGCTTCATTTGTTCGGAATAATATACTACGTTCTCTTGTCCAAAATTTATCAAGTGCAAAATTTGATGAATTCCTTTTGCTGTCCTTTTTTTTTACCGTATTTATTCGAATAAGCGCCCAACCACGAATTAGCGCCCACCTCCAATAAGCGCCCATCCTAAAGGCAGAAAAAGTTAATAAGCGCCCAGCCTCGAATAAGCACCCACCCCCACCCCACTCCCTCCCACACAAACTCCAATAAGATAATAAGAGACCCTCCCGAAGACGGAGTTTTCTTCAGAGTATTTTACAGAAACCTTGCTTTGTTACATCTTCGCTTTTTGTTGCCACCATTTATTGTTTTGTTGAAAAATACACATACTTCACTTGCTGAGAATGGTGAAAATTTAATAAGCGCCCAGCCTCGAATAAGCGCCCACCTCGAATAAGCGCCCGCTATCAAGGTCCAAAAATTTAATAAGCGCCCAGGGCGGTTAATCGAATAAATACGGTATTTGTTTCCCCTGATCTATTTTGTGCAGCAAAATTGGAAATGAAATGATCCACAACTTACAGATGACCTTTTATTGGTATATACGTACATTTTGTGATATCAAATTATTTATTGACGTCAACTTATCTGTTAAGCATAATTTTGTACGTAAAAAATGTATTTTATAGGTATTTTTAGGACTTTTTAAATCGCAGTAATTATATCGTAATAACAATTCTTGTTTATTAAGATTATCAAAGTTATTCACATATCATAGACTAATAAACGATATTAAATTATTGAATGTTAAGATTAGCTGGTTACTTTTTTATTCAACAAATACAAAGTGTTTATTGCTGTTCACTACCGATATTCAGTATTCCGTAGTTTCGCTGGATTGCTCCAGTCATCTGCAGCGGCAAATCCGCGAGCTTGTTTAAAGTGCGAAAGCTTAGGAAGAAGAAGCGGGGAAATTTTTTTTAACCTCTCCATTTTTCTCACGCCTTAACCACTCGTTTACCTTGTTCCAACTAAACTGGCAGGATTGATATATGTTCAATAATCAAGGCAGCCAGGCGAATAAACGATTTTTCTTAAAATAACTTTTTTCAAAGCTAGACGTATGTCTAAAGCCCCGTAACATTAGAGAGTTTTAGATGCGAGTTTACCGCGAACCTCTAACCGCTGGAGGTCACGTGACAAGTCTTTCGCGTCACGTTTGAGGTTTACGACGTGCGTTTTCAACGTGGGGAGATAGATTTTCACGTGTCATTTACCTGAAAGATTTTAGAGTATAAATCTTGTTTTATCCCACGTAATGATACAAAAATCTTGTGGAGCAAGTCTTTATCCATTAACAAAGGCACAAATACGGGCGAAATGCTAAATTTGATAAATCCTATTGGATCTTGAAAACAAGTGCCATTCATGGCTGCTGGTTCAAAATGGCGGCCGTAAAATCGCAAGAACTAATGCAAGAATTTACAGCTCTTTGCTGCTAGATAACCCAGTGTTACCGTAAATTTCTTTTATTTTCACTGATTGATTTTTCTTCTATTTCTAAGTGGAAAAATAAACCAGAATCCACTTCTTTAATCCACCACCAATCTAAATCGAATTATGTTTGAACGTTAAACCGCAAACGGGTAACGGCAAACCGCGGTTAGAGGTTCGCGGTAAACTCGGATCTAAAACTCTCTATTGTTGGCCAACAACTCCCAACACTGTTGAATGTCAGATGTTGCGTCCGTTTGCACAACCTGTTGCATGTGGTTGGGAGTTGCTGCGGAACGTTTGAAACCGGTCAAACTTTTAGCTACGCGCAAACGGACGCAACAACTCCCAACAATGTTGTGTGAGGTTTTTGGTTCTAACGCGATGGCCACAAAACTCTGGAAAGAACTACAGATATCATTAAGCATTAAGGTGCGCGGAGCTCACCCGGGAGCTGAGGGTGGAACCTGGGGAACGAAATTCCTGTCTTTTGTTTTGTATCCCTCTCTAGCTCTTTTTGTGTTACCCACGTCAGTGTAGACATTAGAAGTTAGTTAATTAAAGACTCGAATTGTTTTTGTTGTTGCTTTTTTTTTGCCCTCTAAAAGTCCGTACGCGTGGGTGCGGCAATGCGAAATTTCATTCCGGCTAACATCCACATCGAGAGGCGGACTTACGTACGGGCGTATGGGTGGACGGACGGTCACGTGACTACTAAATTTTCTTGCATGGGGGCTCTGCTGCGCGCACAGGGTCCAGAGGAGTTTCGTTTGAATAAATGAATTATTTCTTTAAAGTCTCACCTTGAAAAATGTAAATACCAGTGTCGCTTAGCACGATTAATTAGCCCAATGGGATCTTTATAAATCTACTTTAAACGATTCTGACCCAGATCGACTATTGAAAATCGATGACCGCAAGCCATATCCTCGCTGGCGCACGGCACGTCTTCCGAAGGGCGACCGAGGCACGAAGTGCAGAGTAAAATACTTTAAGCCGATCTTACGATCAAAATAACCCATTTTTTCGGAGGTTTTCGACGGGTTTTGATGTTCTAACGACAAACACATCTCCTCTGGACCCGATAAGCCGTCAACCAGCAAGTCCCCAGGGCCCGGGGGGGCACTTTAGGAATTTCTGGGTGGGGATGTGCCGCCGGGACCCTGGAACCCTTAACCTATACCAGAGCTAGTTCAGCTGAATTTTGCTACCCTATACTAGAGTAAACTCCCCAAATCCCCCCTTTCCTAGAGTAGCTGTTTTCCAGAAACTACTGAGGTCACTAGCACAGTCTAGCCAAAACAAAACCTTGTACCACAATCCCTAGTCTAGATAAAATCTTCAACCAACTGATCAGTTTCCTAAAAACTGATACCCTATTCTAGACCCAAACGCTCTGATTTATATACCCTATCCTAGAGTAAACTGCTTGAAAACCATACCCTTCACAGCGGCACATACCTATATAGCCCNAACGACAAACACATCTCCTCTGGACCCGATAAGCCGTCAACCAGCAAGTCCCCAGGGCCCGGGGGGGCACTTTAGGAATTTCTGGGTGGGGATGTGCCGCCGGGACCCTGGAACCCTTAACCTATACCAGAGCTAGTTCAGCTGAATTTTGCTACCCTATACTAGAGTAAACTCCCCAAATCCCCCCTTTCCTAGAGTAGCTGTTTTCCAGAAACTACTGAGGTCACTAGCACAGTCTAGCCAAAACAAAACCTTGTACCACAATCCCTAGTCTAGATAAAATCTTCAACCAACTGATCAGTTTCCTAAAAACTGATACCCTATTCTAGACCCAAACGCTCTGATTTATATACCCTATCCTAGAGTAAACTGCTTGAAAACCATACCCTTCACAGCGGCACATACCTATATAGCCCGTATATGGCAGTACCCACCCCCGGGCCCCAGGGTTCCGCAATAGACCCTTTGGAATTAGGTGGCCCGCGGATACCCCTTGTAGCGGTAAACGCGTCATGTAATTGTATTCATCCTAAACAATATGGCGTCTGATCTTCAAGCGCTTTCTGGTTACAAAGTCGGCGAAATTTCGCAAGCACTCTTTACGAATCAGAAGAGCAAGGCGCACTTGAAAAAAAATGTTGAACTCAGTGCTCTGTTTAGTTCTACAAATCCATCTCAGCCAGCATTTGTGGCCGTACCATTGAAGGTAAGATTGAGAAATGAAGGTTGCATGAATCTTAACCGTACCATGCATCTGTTAGTTAAGGTGATTCCCTAGTAAAGGAACCTAACATAGATTGTAGATGATACTTGGTACACTGATGTAACAAGTCAAGAAGATGATAAAAAAGTAATAAAAAGTGGGGGTCACAGTGCTCGTTTTGACGTCACAATGCTGAGAAATACGGCTATTTTGGACCCTTTGTCAAAAACCGCGCGCAACCCAAAACTAGACAAAAACGAGAGATTTTTTCGTTGATGCATGTGGTATCGCACAGAATTTGACTTTACGGTATTGTTTATCCACTTACATACCAGAAAAATACCTTTTAATGCTCCTGTTTTTATATTACGCTCTAAAGTAGAATTGAATTGGACACGCGCTATTCGACTCGTGATAGCTCAGTCCGTACAATTTAGTAAAATTGCCAAAAAACTGAACATAGATTTGTGCCAATTTTTTTCTCATCGAATGGAAACACTGTCCTTATTAAAATCATGAAATAAAAAATGGGGGTCATCGTACTCGTTTTTGCGGTAGAGCTGCAGAAAGTGCGCACCAAATGCATTTTCTCCGAGTTTTGGGAGAGGACTGGGGCGAGTTTCAAAAATAGAATGTATGTGAAAGGGGGAAGAAAGGATACAATGTGATAAAGAAAGCGTTTAAATAAAAATCAAAGTGAGAAAGCACAAGTTAAACATCCACTATCGAGGTTCTCCGTGAGGAAGTCGAACTCAGCAACACGCGTACTGCCTACGTTATGCACATTCCCAACACATTGAGTCTCACCTCGGCAAGAAACAAAGGCAAGCAAAAATTCCAATAGCGTTTATCTTCAGTCAACTAAATTTTAATAATGTTACTTCACATTCTCTTTTTTACGGCGGCCATCTTGTTATGTGCAGTAAGAGATGCGCAGTGTAAAACCAGGGAATCTCGTACTTCTCAATACACGGTGTTGTGGTTATAGTACCTTATCGTAGTTTATATGAGTAAGGATTGAATCGAAGACAGAAGTGAATTCACAAACGATCAAATTAAAACATGTAGTCTTTGTTAGCAAACCCTAAACTGGAAGACATAAGATTGTTTTAGAATCACATTTACGGCAAACGGGAGACATCAAATTTAAGCTAAAAATTTCTCGAAACAGTGAATGAACAGATGAAAACAGCTCAAAACAATTGTTACGGATGATGAAGCCGGCGTGAAACAACCAATTTTTGTGTAAAAGTAAACCAACTACATGTATCAGTATAAACTATATCTGCCAACTCTCACGCCTTAGGCATGAGCCTCACGCCTATGGGTTGAAAACTTTGATCTCCCGCCAGCTCACGCTTGCGGGCCAATTTCTCACACCTGATTGAAAAACGTGAGTTGTTGCTGTCTTGCTTGACACAATTTCAAAAAATATGTTAACTCAGATCCATGAAAGGAACCAAAACCATGTGTAAAATGAATAAATGACAATACCTTCCTCACGATCTCTGATTTTTGAAGTGAAAAGCACTGAGAGCGAGCTCGCGTTTATACGTGTCCTAAGACTGGGACTCGATAACTTTGCCTTCGGCAGACTTCGGACGTCTTTGGAAGACTTCAGACGTCTTCTGAAGTCTTCAGACTTCTTTGGGAATCTTTGGAAATGATTGTGTCGTCTTCAAAAATCCCAGCACTCCCAGGATAAAAATCTTACGCTTATATCTCAGAAAAAGTTGGTAGGTATAGTATAAACCCTGTGAGGGTGGTCTGAGGGGGTTGGGGTTTTGGTTTTTGTGCAGGCAAGGAGTGGGGACTTGATCAAGGAGTGAAATTTTGCTCAATTTCTTGATGGTGGGGAACGATACATTTGTCACATGTAGCTAAAAATCCCAACCCAGGGGCTTCAATACTGACTGACAGACAAGAAATTTATTTCACATGCCTTTAAAGACAGTGTGATTTAACCTATCTCCTTGCATGTTGTGTCCATAAAAAAAAGTATGGCAATGTTTCATGGTGAAACACTTTCTTTAACCCTTTAAGCCCCAATATCCACATACAAATTCTCCAAACTGATCTCTATATAATTCCTTAAAGAATGAGTTGAGAGAATTTGACAAAAGATCAAAGCATTTTCTCTTAGGTGATCATTTTATTAATTCTCATAACCTAGTCTCTTGACAATGTACAGATATCATTGGGAGAAAATTGATGTTGGTCACTATCAGGACTTAAAGGGTTAATCTTCTTTTATCTTCAAAACTGAGTGAACTTTATTGATATATTTGTTTCATTCATTTATCTGTTCATTTATCAAAGGTTTTGTGTTTCAATTAGAATTTCTCTTAAGTAGGGGTACACATGTAAAAGAATTCGAAGCAAAATTTTAATAAACACCTTTTCTCAACTAAAATGTCACCAAACTAGGAAACAGACTTTCTCAAGGCCCATTTCCGGTTTCTGCTGGTTAGATGGTCAGTCGTGAAACAAACATTTCTTGGGTGCAGCGCACTATTTTTGTCCGGCCAGTTTTCAGCCTGTGAAAACAGCTGTCTCTCCTTGCTCCTTTCTGCTACTGATGTGGGAGAGACATCTGCAACTGCCAGCAGAACCTTTCTTTTACTTGCTCAATGTTTGCATACTTGAGAAATAATCTGCATGAATCATTAAGATTTTTGCATCTGTTGCTGGAATAGTTTTCAAGCCAGGCCTAATAGCAGTGTTCTTGGTACAGTGGGGTCAGTTATTACCATCGGTTTATCAGTAAAATTGGTGGATACGCCTGCTTGGAAAGCAAGAAAGAACAAGAAGTTTGGACTTTGGCAAGTTCAAAGGCTTGAGAGGATTCAGACAGATCATCCTTTTTGCCCCCTCACTCAAGAAGACAAAACAGACCCTGCTTGCCCGATGAATAAAGTTTACATGGTTAATCTTGTAGTCATGGGGCTCCAGATGGAAATATGTTCTAGCTTTTTCTGTCTTGGCCAATTATGGTAAAGTTTTGAGTTCTTTATATGTGAACAAGTGGCAGCAAAATTCCAATCCTTCTTGTAAAGATCAGATTACACTGTATATTCCACAAATAATGACCGTTGATTTACAGTTGATCTTTGTGACCTTTTTCCTGTCATTTGTAAACACTTAGAATAGAATTACTAAGTCCAGCCAATCAGCGCTCATTGACCAGATTCTGCTTATAGATTCTACATTGCCATGTGTCTGTTCAGTAAAAGATCATAGATGACATCAAAATGTGGTAAAAACAAAATTAATACAATGAAAAGAGAAGGGAAAAAAGACACACTTGCCTTGTACCACTTCTTATCTACTTTATCTTACATGCATACAGTTCCTCTCCAAGAAGTTTTTCAAAGCCTTCACTTGCTCAAAGCAGAATAATCACAAAGACATTTTCAAGACAGCTAGGCATTTTCAAGTCATCTCAGTTTGTCTAATTGTCTTGTTTGTAAATAGCTCCTGCTACACTTTTTTCAAGGCCTTCACTCTCTTAATCTGAAGTAATCTCGCAAACATTTTCAAAACCACGCGCCATGTTGAACAAAACGTAGAAAACAAGTTTCCTGTGACAGCATCCATTTTTCTTTAGTCTGATAGATCATGGGCATACAACCAATATCAGTGCTCGTTGAACTGACTACATTGTATAAACAAATATACATCAACAGCATGAAATTTTTACAGTGAAATTGGAGGCATCTCTCCTGAAAACCTCTGTAGTTGGGAGGAGCAAGGAGAGACGTCTGTATTTGCAGGCTATATCAAGCTAAAAAAATTAATTTATTTTATCTGCAATAATAATTGTTACAACTGTACTGCAAAGTCCCTCTTGTATTACTTGTAGGTATCAAGGAAGAAAGAAAAGGAGACTGTTGAGAGACTTGAGGATAAGAATTCACAGGCAGGCACAAAGCAAATAGGAGGTACATGGCTGTAATAATATGATGGTACTGTGGATGTTTCTCTTTTACTGATACAGTCTTCTATTTGTCTGAGTAGATCGTTTAATACCTGAGCAACCTTTAGTGATTTAAAAGAATCAGCTCATTTACATCCCTGTCAACTTTAATTGAGTTTACCCTTGCCAATATAGTGAATGCTGGCAACTTTCAAACTGGGAGATTTTTTTATGACTGGAAAATATACTGTACCTGAGGACCCAATTCACTGCAACCTCCTCTATTTTTACCATCTTTTATGTTTTTTCTCATAACCTAGTTTATGTGTACCTCAAAAACCATTAACAGTAAGAAAAATATATAGAATATTACAGTGCGACTACGACATGTATAACCGGGACCACCTAGACAAAGTTGACCAATCGGATTACAGGAAAATAACAATACATTCTGAGAACGTTAGTTGTCAATCCTAATAATTAAATTAGTATGAAAAAAAATAAACAACATAGATAGAAATCAGTCAAATAAATGCTACAACCTACAGGAATGACCTTATGAACCCCCAGAAAAAAAGCGTGTGTTTCTTGAGAGGTCTGTTAGAGTAAATGACAGTGGTGGAAAATGTAAACATTGGTTATATTTTTTACTTGAGGTTGTGATCTCTTTGCCATGTGAGGTAATGTTAGGGAAGAAATTGCTGGTGGATGACAAAAGCATAGCATGTCTCAAACAAATATGTCTCCTGGGTGTTATATGTAAAGTATGGGATAGAAAAACATTGTCTGGTGAAACGTTTTGCTTTCTTGAAAAATGTTTGCTATCAATATTTAAATTTGGTGCTTTGAGTAACTTTTTGTTTGTTTGTTTTTTTTTTTCGACTTCCTGATTGGTCCTTAACCAACTTTCTTTGAATGTATTGTTATTTTCTTGTGATCCGATTGGTCAACCTTGTCTAAGTGACCCCGGTTACAGTAGTCGTACCATAATATTAGAGAGCTTAAGCAACAACGACGACAACGGCAACGAGGATGGGAAAAAAGCAATAATTTTAGCGTGACAAAACTACAACTTTGCATGTGCATGGTGCTTTTTGTACTTTCTTTGCGGTCGCAGTATGACTACAACTTGAAAGTGCCTAATTTCATGTTTTGTCGAGGACGTTAACTCAAGACAACAACTTTATTTTTCTTTTCCTGAACTTTGATACAGTCTTTAAGAATTCAACTACAAACAAATTTTCTGACATTCGACAAATTAAATGAGTTGGAATAAGTGTGATAAAGTTTGAAGGAGCTCGAATTCACTTGTTTGTCCTTGTTGCTTAAGCTCCCTAATGATTCTTCTTAAGGCCTTTTAGATTGAAATGTTTTGATGTTTTGGGTTTTATTGTTTTGTGTTCTAGTGAACAGATCAAAAAGGAAAAGGAAAATACCAACAAGGTAAGCAACAACAGGGCCTATACTTTGGCATGTAATAAAAACTGTGTTATCCTCAACTTGTCTACACTAAAAAAATGAGCCTCCATATGGATACCTGCGGACAATGATTTTGTTGTGCATTTTCCAGTTGTGGGTAGAAATTAAACTTCATATCCCATTACTTGTTTTAAGTGATGATGAAGATGAAGAACTGATAAAGAAAGCTAGGAAAAGAAAGAAGAAATCTAATGAAGCAGAAGAAAATCCAGAAAGACTAGCTAGGACTGTGTTTGTTGGAAATCTACCCATTGAATTCACAAGAAAAGTAAGTGAACCCAATAATAATACCATATGCATTATGCACAGTTCCTTGTCTCTTAATTCATCTTTAGGTCCAGCTTCTTAACCCATTTTCCTGTAATTGACCTTGTGGATCCACGTCTGTGGCATGGTCTAGGACAACAATGTCAACCAACTTGTGCAGGGGAAGAAATCTTTCAAATGATGCCAGAATGAGCATGATTCAGTCAAGAAGGCCAGAGAAAAAGGCCAAAAAAACATGTATAGTTGACCTGAAAATTCCAATGAAAATCTTGTTCCACTGCCCACCCTCTTTTTCAGGCATCTAGTCCTTAAAGTTTTTCCAAAAAATTTTCCCACCAAAATGAAGCCTAGTAAATGTTCAGCAAAAGAGAAAAACAGGTCAAGAATCTGATAGAAGAGAACGGAGAGGAGGAGGGAAAATGAAAGGGAAAAGTTGAAACCGCGGTGTCACTTAAATCCCAAAAAACTATCTCGATTGTGCTTTCTGCACATGCCCGAACTTCAGAAGGTGATATTTTGCATCATCAGAAACAAAAGGCCACAAAGTGCATTCCCTGCAAACAGCCGATTGGTAATTTTTGCTCTTAACTAGCTTCAAAATGCATTTTCTGGCAAAATTCCCAGGGATGAATGTATTATTATTGTACTATTTTTATTTAATTTTTGACCATGGAGTTGTAAGTTTTTATTGTGTTTCAATTAGAATTTCTCTTAAGTAGGGGTACACATGTAAAAGAATTCGAAGCAAAATTTTAATAAACACCTTTTCTCAACTAAAATGTCACCAAACTAGGAAACAGACTTTCTCAAGGCCCATTTGCGGTTTCTGCTGGTTAGATGGTCAGTCGTGAAACAAACATTTCTTGGGTGCAGCACACTATTTCTGTCCGGCCAGTTTTCAGCCTGTGAAAACAGCTGTCTCTCCTTGCTCCTTGCTGCTACGGATGTGGGAGAGACATCTGCAACTGCTGGCAGAACCTTTCTTTTACTTGCTCAATGTTTGCATACTTGAGAAATAGTCTGCATGAATCATTAAGATTTTTGCATCTGTTGCTGGAATAGTTTTTGAGCCAGGCCTAATAGCAGTGTGCTTGGTACAGCGGGGTCAGTTATTACCATTGGTTTATCAGTAAAATTAATGGATACTCCTTCTTGGGAAGCAAGAAAGAACAAGAAGTTTGGGCTTTGGCAAGTTCAAAGGCTTGAGAGGATTCAGACAGATCATCCTTTTCGCCCCCTCACTCAAGAAGAAAAAACAGACCCTGCTTGCCTGATAAATAAAGTTTACATGGTTAATCTCATAGTAATGGGGCTCCAGATGTAAATATGTTCTAGTTTTTTCTGTCTTGGCCAATTATGGTAAAGTTTTGAGTTCTTTATCTGTGGACAAGTAGCAGCAAAGGAGAGACCGCTGTATTTGCAGGCTATATCAAGCTAAAAATTTATTTTATCTGCTGTAATTATTTATTGTTACTTCTGTACTGGTAATTCCCTGTTGTATTACTTATAGGTATCAAGGAAGAAAGAAAAAGAGACTCTTAAGAGTCATGAGAATGCAAATTCACAGACAGGCACAAAGCAAATAGAAGGTACATGGCTGTAACATTATTATAATAGTGCTGTGGTTATTTCTTTTTTACTGATACAGTCTTCTGTTGTCTGAATAGATTGTTTAATACCTGAGCAACCTTTAGTGATTTAAAAGAATGTGCTCATTTATATCCCTGTCAACTTTAATTGAGTTTAGTCCCCTGCAAATATAATGGTTGCTGGCAATCAACTTTCTAACCTGGATATTTTTTTATGATTGGAAAAAATTAATATACTGAATCTGAGGGCCAAACTCACTGCAACCTCCTCTATTTTTACCATCTTTTATGTTTTGCCTCATAACCTAGTTTATGAATATTACAGTGCAACTACTACATGTATAACTGGGGCCACCTAGACAAAGTTGACCAATCGGATTACAGGAAAATAACAATGCATGAATTCCGAGCACATTAGTTGTCAATCATAATAATTAATTACTACAAAACAAAATAAACAACATGGATTGAAATCAGCCAAATACAACCTACAGACATGACCTTTTGAACCCCCTGAAAAAATGTGTGTGTTTCCTGAGAGGTCCTTAGAGTACGTAAATGACAGTGGCCAAAAAAACGTAAACGTTAGTAATAATTTTTAATTGAGGTCGTGATCTTATTGCCAAGCGCTTGAAATTGCACTTAAGAAATTGCTGTTAGATGACAAAATAACAGCATGTGTCAAACAAATAATTTATGTATCCTGGGTGTTGTAAGAAAAGTTTCAGATATTAAAACATTGTCTGGTGAAACATTTTGCTTTCTTGAAAATGTTTGCTATCAATATTTAAATTTGGTGCTGTGAGTAACTTATTGTTTTTTTTTTCAACCTCCTGATTGGTCCTTAACCAACCTTCTTGGAATGTATTGTTATTTTCTTATAATCTGATTGGTCAACTTGTCTAAGTGACCCCAGTTACAGTAGTTGCACCGTAATATTAGGGAGCTTATGACTACGCCGATGGCAATGAGGATGGGAAAAAAGCAATTGGTTTAGATTTACAAAACGACAGCTTTGCATGTGCATCACACTTTTCGTACATTTCTTTGCATGTGAAAGTGCCTAATTTTATGTTTTGTTGAGGACATGAACACAAGACAACAACTTTCCTTTTCTTTTCCTGAACTTTGATTTACAGTCTATTAGAATTCAACCACAAACAAATTTGCCAACATGACGTATTGAATGAGTTGGAATAAGTGTGATGAAGTTTGAAGTAGCCAGAATTCACTTTTTAAGTGATGCTTTCGTAGCCATCGCCGTCCTTATTGCTTAAGCTCCCTAATGATTCTTCTTGAGGCCTTTAAGATTGAAACGTTTTGATGTTTTGGGTTTTATTGTTTTGTGTTCTAGTCAACAGATCAACAAGGAAAAGGAAAATACCAACAAGGTAAGCAACAACAGGACCTATACTTTGGTATGTAATAAAAATTGTGTTACCCTCAACCCACCTACACTAAAAAAAATGAGCCTCTGTATGGATACCTGCGGACAACGATTTGGTTGCGCATTTTCCAGTTGTGACAGAAATTAAACTTCATATGCCATTACCTGTTTTAAGTGATGATGAAGATGAAGAACTGATAAAGAAAGCTAGGAAAAGAAAGAAGAAATCTAATGAAGCAGAAGAAAATCCCGAAAGACTAGCCAGGACTGTGTTTGTTGGAAATCTACCCATAGAATTCACAAGAAAAGTAAGTGACCCCAGTAATAATACTATATGCATTATACACTCCTTGTATCTTAATCAGTCTTCAGATCCAGCTTCTTAACCCATTTGCCTGTAATTGCCCTTGTGGATCCACGTCTGTGGCATGGTCAAGGACAACAATGTCAACTAACTTGTGCAGGGGAAGAAATCTTTCAAGTGATGCCAGAATGAGCATGATTCAGTCAAGGAGGCTAGAAAAAAAGGCCAAAAAAGCATGTATAGTTCACCAGAAAATTCCGATGAAAATCCACTTTTTCAGGCATCTAGTCCTTAAATCTTTTCCAAAAAATTTTCCCACCAAAATGAAGCCTAGTAAATTCTCAGCAAAAGAGAAAAACAGGTCAAGAATCTGATAGAAGAGAACAGGGAGGAGGGAAGTTGAAACTGCTGTGTCACTAAAATCCCAAAAAACTATCTCGATTGTGCTTTCTGCACATGCCCGAACTTCGGAAGGTGACATTTTGCATCATCAGAAACAGAAGGCCACAAAGTGCATTCCCTGCAAACAGCGGTTTGGTAATTTTTGCTCTTAACTAGCTTCAAAATGCATTTTCTGGCAAAATTCCCAGGGATGAATGTATTATTATTGTACTATTTTTATTTAATTTTTGACCATGGAGTTGTAAGTTTTTATGAAAATTGTATTTTCAACTGACAAAATTTTAAGGGCAATAATTTTTTGTGGAAAGTTTTTTCTTGTTAGTTGTAAATAAAACTTTAGAAGCCCCCAAATTTATTGCTGTTTGGTCATTTTTTCTTGCTTTTTTAGAAACTGAAAAAGTTGTTTGCTGTTTATGGCGAAGTGGAGAGTGTGCGATTTCGATCAGCAGTAGGTACCTTTAATTGGATATAAACTGTCGTAGCCCCTATTCAAAATTTTTCTATGCAAATAAATGTAACTAGGTGGAACATGATCGTCTGGTTTCAAGAGTTTAGTCCTGAATAAGTCTGTTAGGCCCAGTTCAGATGTCAATCTCTTCATGAGCCTAACCTAGTTCGAATTAAGGGTGTAAAGGCTGACCCTTAATATTATTATTTTAGACTGACTGAATTGATTTAGATACTGATCTTAATTCCAGCTGAACTAAATTCAAAAGGAGAAAAATGCTCATTTCAGTCAAACTTCTTACAAAATGCATTAGATGGAAAGTTCAGCATCTGAATCAAAGTCATTCCAAAGTCCATCGAAATTCTCGGCTGGGCTAGGCGGGAAGAATGGCTGAGCCATTCCAAATTGAAACAGGCATTCCTAATTGATTCAGATACCGTCCTTTTTATGCACTTAATTCCATGTACTTCATTAGGTTCGGCTCATGAAAAGTTTGGCATCTGAACTGGGCCTCACATTATGGTGACTAACCTTTCGACAACCTTTTTTTGACAACCTGTGCTTTGACTCTGAAGATGACTAACGCACAGGTTGCCAAAACATAAATCAGTTCAACAACAGTCCTATTATATTCAGGACAATACTCGCCCGAAATGATCATATTCCACCTACTTACATGTATGAAAGGACTCCAGGGTTTAAACCATTCACTTCAAGAGAACATTATTAATATTTTGTGGTTGTTTAAACCATCATAAAGGAGTGTTTAAGTTTAGCAGTCATGGAAATTGCCCTTAGTCATGTTATGATTATAATAAAAATGAATTAATTTTATGGCAACTTGATCTAGTTCTTGGTAGAATCCATCTTCAGGTTACAACAGATTTTCCTTTTCCCAGGAAACAAAATCCTGCTTAATGAATATAGGTTTAAGCTGAGACAAGTATTTTTGGAGAAAAAAATCCACATTTATAGGAAAATCTTTCGGAAAGAATTATTATCAAAGCTTTTTAACTTACATTGGATTAAGCAATAGAGTCTTGAGAAGGGTTTTATTAAATTTTTGAATGTCCTCCTCGATCACTCTTACATGTAACTTCCCTAAGTTAAAGAGTTATTTGGGAGTCGCGAGGTTTAGAGAAATTTAAATAATATGTTCAAAACACAATTGAGTTATAATGCATAGCAAATTAAACACTTAAAGAGAAACACCTAAGAATTCAAGCTTGAATACATGAATAATATTTATTATAAACCAAGCTGTCCTGTAAACATTTTAAATGATGCTCATTATTTTTTGCAATATTTAACTACTAAGTTTGAGTTATTGAAGTTTCTTAATCAGCCAAAAACTTGAAGCTAAATTCTAAGTCATTTCTCTTTTTTTACATTACCTTTTAAGTTTATATTTAATTTTCTTATATCAGTAGAAATTTTTGTTATCATTATTATGTGACTTTTGAAACGTAATCGTCATTATTTTGTCTGTCAGTGTTTCATATAATTATTCAGTTTACTGATGTAAAAATAATACCAGTACAAGGCAGGGACTAAAGCGAAATGATGTGTGCCAAGTTATAAAATAATTTTTTCTCCTGGAACTTGTGAACCAGCTTCTTTTACAGTGTAGTTTAATATTTTTTTAGTTCTAAATTAGATGACAGAGCCTGTATTCTAAAACTAAAACTTTCAATTCAAATAATATTTTTTTTGTTTGCAATTATAAATTATTGATACAATTCGGTTTTATGTGACAGCTATTTACATTTATCATAAGTTTGTTTTTGTATACTTTGGTGGTAGTTTTCTCTCACCAAGAAATTTGAAAAGCCCTAACTTAAGGAGGATTTTTCATTCTTTTGCTTGCTATGGACAACGCTGACTCTGAGAGGAATAAAACTGCTGTTAGAAAATCCTTTGAAATTGCATCAAGGAAAAAATTAGACACTTTGGATTTAATAAGAAAACAGATTCAGCAGATTCCCAGTGGATTGGACATGTTTGATCTTAGCAATCTAAAGTTTCTTTACTTAGAAGGAAACATAATTTCCTTTTTACCAGAGGACTTTTTCCCTTGTCTTGCAAGTTTGGAATGGCTTGATCTAAGGAACAATATACTTTGCGAAATTCCACGAAATATTGGAGAGCACAAGAAATTGAAAACACTGTTACTAGGGAGAAACCAGCTTAAGTTTTTACCAGCCGAATTAGGGTTTGTGAAAACACTGACTGGACTGAACTTATCTGATAATCCCCTCGAGGAACCACCGCAAACAATATTGATGAAAGGCATTTCTGCTGTGCAAGCGTATCTTCTTGCAAAGCTTAGGATTTATCCAGAAGAGGATGAGGCTAATGACAGTGAATCAGACCAACAGAGCACTATTGAGAGTAGAAATCATTTACAAGCTGACTTTGAAGAAGTTGACAATGAGAGTATGAGCAGCATTGTGAATGAAAAGGAAGAAATTCCCCGCAGCAATTCAGCTGAAAATCATCCTATGATGCAGTCTGTTTCACCACAAGCTGCCTTGGCTTATTATGGGGCGCTGCTTGGTGAAGTTCCGCATTCTTACATCTTTAAGCCATGGAAAACTGGAGTCTTTTTAAGGAGAGAGCAAATGACAGATGATCTCAATTCAGCACATGATGGGGATGAAGATAATAGCAAATATTAATTGTAGCAAATGGCTTTGACCTATTTTATTTTTGTGCTACAATTTGCATGCGAGCATTTGTGAAAACTGGTGTCTTTTCCAGACGGAGTTGGCTTAAGGCCATACCATTATTTATCTGCACTGTAACGCAAGTGAAATCCGTGATATGAGAGATGCATAAGTTTGTGTATCATAGCCATCATCATCATCATCATCTTAAATATTTAGTGCGATTGTAAAATTTGGTAGAAATACGGCAAAACAATAAAATATGATTAATGATACGATCTTAACTTTATACTTTGTACAGCTAGTCGAAATACTGTTGTCTCAGAGATTGGGAAGGCAAAATAGACAAATGGGCCTATGGCCCATGACTTTGAAAAGTTTTGTGGGCCATTTCATTAAATTATGGGCCATTGAAGTTATGGTTGGGCCACATGAAAAGGAAACAGAAATGATCTGTGCAATCTGTGGAAGCATGCACATTTACATGAAGTATTTTTAATCTGATTTAACTACAGAGTAGTTTTGCAGTTTTTAAGTACTGCGTGTTTGTGATCCATCAGTTGCTTGTGTCTCATCATGCTACTTTTAAATGTTTTGCAACCAGAGGTCATGGTATTTTTTTTGCCATGTTTGAGGCAAAACTCTTTTACTTGCAGGCTGGAAAAGTGTGGTGGGCATGCTTCTTTCACCCGATGGATCCTTAAATTCATAAGTCACATCGGTGTTGTTGTTGTTGTTGTTGTTGTTGTCATTTTTGTGATCGATCTTGGTGGACTCGCTGTTCGAATTCATGCTAAAAAAAAAAACATGAAAGTTTTCTTTGGCCTTGAGTATCTTGGAAGTTTCTTTGGAGGCATTATTTCAATACGTTTTCTGTTTTCATCTTTCTGTTTTCATCTTTCTGGCCAAAATGCAAATGAATGCATTTTGGCCAGAAAGATGAAAACAGAAGTGAAAGTCTGATCTCAATTTAGCACTTTGTCTGGACCGAACCTTGTTTGCAAGCTATGTGCAAGTAGAGGGCTGAGGACAAAAATAAATGAACACGAAAGATCGCCAATCACGAAAATAATGGTCAGATTGAAGTGCTTATTAACTATAACTTGATTAGGGCACATGCTAGGCTCAGTTAACATTTTTATAATGCAACATTTTCTAAATTTATACACCATATGTGCCTGGCGCACAACCTTCCCTAATAGTTGAAAATTTACACTCAGATTTATTCAATACACTGATGAGTTCTTTTGATAAATTAACATTTCCAGTATGTATTGTTTTTTAGTTGGTAACAAACTAAGATATAGTTATCAATGGTAATAGTACTCAGTAATAATTATGTGTTACAGAAGTGACTACACATTTTTCTATTTAAACATTGTCTCCAAACTATACTAAAAATTTGTAATCAATTATGTAAATTATTATTTTCACGTCTAAATCCTGAAGGGCCACATTTTGATTCACTGGTGAAAATCTTATTTGTTTGATTTTGTTGTAATTTTTCTTTGTTCACAGGCATTAGCAAAACCTGATCTGTCCAGAAAAGTGGCCATGAAAAAGTAATAATATAGCTTTTTTACCAACTTGCACAGTAGCTAATAAAAACATTTTCCCAGCCTGCAATTAAACATGGGCTTGCAATTGACTGACTGGGTGTGTGACTTTAGCTAGCTGATTGACTAACTCATCAAATGACAAACTACTAGACTCAGGTAGACTCTTACTGATTGACAGATTTCTTTACTGGCTGACTGATTAGCTGGCTGACTAAACTGGCTGGCTGGTTGATCTGAATGGTTGACTGGCTGGCCATTGCTGACCAACTGGCTGGTTAGCTGACTGGCTGACTGGCTGACTAGCTGACCAATTGGCTGGCTAACTGACTGACTGATTGACTGACTGACTGACTGACTGGCTGGCTGGCTGGCTGACTCACTGACTCACTGACTCACTGACTTTAACTTGTAAACTGGTTGACTTATTGAGAAAATGACTGGGTGAATGACTAGCTGAGTGGCAACTGTCTGACTGCTATGACTTCCTAACTAACCAACTCGTGACTGACTGATGGCTGGTTGGTAAATTGATGTATTGACTGGTCTTAAGATCTGTTTGGCTCCCTTTTTTTTTAGGAGAGAGTTTCATTCAGACAGGCACAATATCAATGGCTATGTTGTGTTCAAAGAAAGGGAATGTGCTGTCAAATCATTGAAGAGGTACTTTCATTGGTAGAAATACTTGAAATGGATCTTAAGGTTCTTTTGAACCTGAAGCTACACATAATGCCTTTTCTTCTCTGGAGGAAATATTTTGTTGTGTTTATAATAACTTTGGTGTGCAATGCACAAAGCGAAGAAAGTTCTGAAACTGTTAACTCAAAATGCACAAACTAAAATTAATGCGTACGTGCAATTTATGACGTTTTACTTGCCATTTTTTTCCCATTTTCAGCAATGGAATGGAAGTAGATGGTTTGCACATCAGAGTAGATTTAACAGGTCAAAATAATAAGGTAATATTATCCTTAAAATTTCTGTATTCTCACTTGCATTCCATTTATCCGTTATCAAGAAAATTGATAACAGTCAAACCTGCACTTTTTCTGAGTCAAAAATCTTGTTTAAGAAAATTTAAGAGAATTTAAGAAAACAGCCCAGTGGCTTTCGAATGTTTCCAGTGATTTTCTTCAAACTTAAATACGAACATTGCCAAAAATGTCCAAAGATTATCAAGCAACTTTTGAGCAGTTCTGGATCAATAATTATGTCAAGGACGACGATATTTTTATTTTAGTGTGTTGTGATACAGTTAGGAATAAAGTCAACATTAAGCACTTTTTTGGAATATTTTTGGGGAAATTGAATTGAATTTTTGTTATTGATCATGCTTTGAAGAACAATTTGTCCGGATTTGTGTGTTAGGCATGCATGGTTGGCTCAGTTGGGAGAGTGCCAGTCTGCTGAGCAAAAGGTCATGGGCTCAAACCCCAGCCGGACCAACCCTTAGGGTCTTTAAATAACTGAGAAGAAAGTGCTGCCTTTGTATGTAATGACATCTGCAAACAGATAGACTTTCTTGTCTTCTCAGATAAGGACAAAAAACCATAGGTCCCATCTCACAGCACTTTCACTTATGTGGTTCTTATGGGCTGTAAAAGAACCCCCACCACTGTTCAAAAATAGTAGGGGACGTACATAGACCCTGATGGTGTGGCCAACCTTTCTTGGGCTGGGTGGGTTATTGCAAGCTTTGCTGTGCTACAGTATGACAGAAGCAAGACTTTTCCAGGCATAACTACAATAATGTTATTTTGGTTACTTTACTTGCCTGAACTTCATTTGAAATCTGAAACCAATTTATTCATGCTATAGATGTGCTAGGGTCATGCTACATTCCAGTCTGCTTCTGAGCACAGCAGTAATGTCCCTTAATACTGTTTATGAAATGGCGACCAGTCCAGCTACACTTCTAGTATGGCAGCGGCCAGAATTATCATTGTCCCAAACAAGGAACAAACTGCAGTTTTCATACCAGTCACAGGCAGTTGAATCTTGATAAACCAACTACTAAAGGAATGATTGTTTTTTTGTCTTCAGCATGATCATAGACGGTCAATATTTGTTGGAAATTTACCATTTGGTGAGTTAATGATTCTTCACATAGACTGTAACTATAGAGCTAAATGTAACTAGAGCTAAATTTAGAGCTAAATGTTTTGAAATTATGTATTTAGCAAATTACTGCTCTGTTTTGACTATGTTCTCTGGTATATCAGATTGTGGGTTTGTTTTTAAACATGATAACATTAAAAGTTTGATATATCATGAATAGAAACTCTTACTGACTTCTGCCTTTCTTTCCAGGAGACTTTTTTAACATTCATTATAATGATGTGTGTACTTTCTTCTGTTTATCAATTATGTGAATCAATTTAGATACAGAAGAAGAACCACTTAGACAAGTGTTTAATGACTGTGGGGAGATAGAAGCTGTTCGTATTGTAAGAGACAGTAAAACTGGTCTTGGCAAAGGCTTTGGATTCATTCTTTTTGAGGTATCTGTTTTAAATGCTTGAGTACTAATAAGTTTTTTAATAATAGAAAGAATGTGCACAATGTACAAATTTTGGAATACATTTTCTGATAAGAATTGTTACAATGTATTCATGAATACAGAGTTGTGACAGCGACATCCTAAATGCAGTCAGACATCCTGAGTAGACACATCAAGCACCTTAAAAGACCATTATTTTAGATTGGACGATCTACATATTTTAGTAGATAATACCGGTAGTAAGGTCACAGATGAGACGACAATGGTATGTCTTCTGTTTAAAAAAATTGTAAAAATTGTAATTTGTTTACCCACGAAGTACTTAGAGTTCTTATAAACTCGTTTAAACGTGTCTGTGTGTTCCAGATCGAATTGGAATTTGGAAGTGTTAGTTTTGAGGAGAGGGGACAACTGGAGTACCCAGAGAAAAACCTCTTGGACCAAGGGAGAAAACCAACAACAAACTCAAACCAATGATGGCTTTGACGCCAGGATTTGAACCCGGGCCACATTGGTGGGAGGCGAGTGCTCTAACCACCGCCCCACCCTTGCTCCATTGTTTACATTATGTTGATCGGTAAGCTGAGGCATCAGCATGCAATGGTGCCACTGGCTCCTGCTATCAATTCAGGGGGAGGTTAATATTGTTATTGGATTTGGCTTTTGTATGACCTGAAGAATTATGCAGATCTCGGAGGGTGTTATGGGCCTTTGTCACACAGCAGCCATTTTGTCCCAAGAGACTAAAGTAGCTTTGTTTTACCTGTCTAGCCTCACTCCCAAGTTTTTCACTGCGAGGTTGAGGGTGGTAAAACAAAGCTTTTTTCAGTCTCTCAGGACAATATGGCTGCCGTGGAAATAAGGCCCACTGGCTGAGGTGGATATCACCCTTCGAGATCTGCATGATTCTTGTGCTCATGCAAAGCCTGAACCAATAATTGAATAATAAAACAATAATTATTATTTTTTTATTATTCATTCAAAATAATTCATTCTTCTTCATTTATTATTATTATTTTGTAAGATAGTATTCAGTTACTCATGACAACCAATTTTACAGGAGAAAGATGCAGTAATGTTTGCCTTAAAAAAGAACCAGACAGAGTTCCGTGGCCGAGCATTGCGAATCTATCCATCAACAGAAAATCCACAGCAAGGTAGGTTGATTTAACACAAGAGGTGTATTATTTTAGATAAACTAGAAGTTCATGAAGTTGAATCTTAGGTACATGTAACTTGTAAAATACAATGAGTGTAGTACTACAAAGATACATGTAAGCTATAGCTATTAAGTCAGTCCAGTGTGGCACACTGGATTGACTTGTGGCTTTATCAGGAAAACAGGTTTCTGAAATGCCAGTGCATGCTCTCTGAGCAGGCACGGCCATCATATTAGTTCGTAGGTGTCATGTAGACCCTACTCTGAACTCCCTGGTTGGAATGACTCTTCTACGAGAAATTAAAACAACTTTTACTAGCTAGTTGCAGACACTTTCTCCTTCCTATAGACGTGTTTTCCTAGAGAAGCCTGATACTCATATTTTTCTGTTTCTTTCTCACTTTAGGTCATTCCAATGATGTCAAAAGTCGTTCCAAGACATATTCATTCAGTGGGATCACTGTCAAACGTGGAATTAAAAAAGAACATAAGGGAAAGAAGAAACAAAAATTTGTAAGAGGCTACAAAGGAAGCCAAAGTGCACAAAATAGCTATGGTGGTGGCAAAAAACCAAAGCATAGAAATGAGAAACTGAACAATCCTAAGAACAGAAACAGAACAAGTAAATTTTCAAAGAACAGTTCCAAACAGGGTAGAAACAACATGAAAGGGAAGCCTTCTCGATAACTAGCCTGCACTACAGACAAAACTAAACTCTGTTAAGTCCATCTGGGAAACAGTGCCAAAATCCTTCTTCTGGTCCCCCAGCTCTGTACCAGGATTTAATTATGTGCTGTGATTGGCCTGTTAAAAAAAGCCGTTGTGGATTTACCAATCATTGAAATGCAGTTCCGCTAATTCATTGAGTTTGTTGGAGGCTCTCGGCACAGCTTCACAGACGTTACTAACCAAAGCTAAATTACGTCTGTGACGCGGCCTACCTAATAACTAGTGGTGTTGTCACCACGTTAGTTCATTTCTTGTCAGTACAGTGGAACCTTAATTTAACGAAGTGCGAAGGGACTGGGGAAATTTGTTCGTTATATTGAGGGTTTGTTATATCGAAGACCTTGATTTAACGAATTTTGGGGAAAACGAGTAAAATGTTCATTATAAAATTATCAAGGTATAGTTAATGATTAATTTCCAACACCCAGCATTAATTTGGTCTGTTTCGCATTCATCTTTAGCTATATTTGGGACACATGTTGACATTAATTTGTTATATTGAGGTATATTATTTTTTGTTTGCGTTTCTGGATTGTGTTTGTTATAACGAGGATTTCATTAAATTGAGGTTTGTTATATATCGAAGTTTTGTTCCATATTGTTGGATTGTAATTTTGGCTGGGCTGAAGAAAATAGTTTGTCATACCAAGGACTTTGTTATATGGAGGTTCGTTGAATCAAGGTTTTACTGTAGTATAGTCAGACCTTTAAAAGAGTCACCTTCAGGAGAGAGACAAGGCACTTACTTCTTCCAGCCTCAATATCAGGATGTTTATTAGGCATTGGAGCTCGGAGAATTCTCCGTTTAGTATGCAGAATTCTCCGACTAACACGAGGTAGCTTATGACTATTTTTTATTCAGACGTGGAGACTTATTTTCATAGTTGCTAGTTAATGTCTGTTAGTTTTTTTATGAATTGGGACTCAGACGAGCTGCCTGTGTCACTCAGTGAAAAATTATCTTTCTCGTAATATGTTCACCACATCTCTCTCTACCTTTGAACTAGCATTCTCTTCTTCCATTTGCATTTTTATTCAAATTCAGGGCTGACCTCTAGCAGCACCCAGTGGCCCTGAAACCTTGCTTTTGCTGTTGGGCAACTAGGAAATGTTAGTTTTAGTAGAAAAGTCATATTCTGAGTTCCCCAGATTTCTCGGGCTCAGATCATTGGTCTTCCTACAGTTTTTCTTAGAGTTCAGCCTTGAAATGTATGTCAATGAGTTTGCCATGAATTCTGTCAACCACTAATTCTTCCTAAATTTTTTAATAAACATATGTTTAAATGTTAAAAGATTAATTGTTTTGTTTTGTATCTCAACATATTTTACATTCCTGGCAGTCAGCTCATTCACTGCCTTTTAACGTCTAAAATAAGAAGAAAAACCCCATATTTCATTTTAAGATACCCCATAAAATATCACCAAAAAGAAGGGATGTTGTAAAACTTAATAAGCACTATCTATAAATAAAAATATTAATAAACGAAGTAAATCTTACAGACTACATAGTATCATCCATCCACTTGGAGCTATGTAAACTACTGACCAACTGTTAGTTGACTGTTGGCAACAGTTGGCCAACTTTTGGTTGTGGGGAGTTGTTCTTCAAAATTAACCTGAAATATCAGGAAGAAGAATTCTTAGGAGATCATTATTTTTATTGATAGACTTCAAAATGAACAGTTGGATCTTTTAAAAATCTCATTCCATTTGTAGGTTCTTGAACTGTTGTTACTAATGTCCAACAATAACAAAGAGCTTGGTGTCCACTGCAAAGAATATTATTCAATATTTACCTCATGTGCCAATATGATAATTATTGACAATTGGCATAAGGTAAATATTGAATATGTTCTTTGCAGTGGACATCAAGCTCTTCATTATTGTTGGACATACAACAGTTAGAGAAACTACAAATGGAATGAGGTTTTTAAAAGATCCAACTGTTATTGGTATAAGTATCGACTCAACTTTTTTTGTCCTCGTTAGTTGGGGATACAACAAATTAATGTTAATTCTGGATATAATGTAAGATGTTTCTCTGGAGAAAAATAAGACAGAAGTAAATAGAGTGATAGTTATGTTGACTTTGCAGAGAAGCTCTGTTCATACTTTCAGTAAATGCAACTACCATGTATTGAAACCTGGTATGCCAGAACCCTTAAACATAAAACAAATTAATAAAACTGAAAAGAATGACCATCTAGTATTGCACAGAGATAGTCTAACAGCTAGGGTTTCTGTTGGTCTTGCCAGGTTTTCTGTAGTGGTCCAGAGTGTTCTATGGTGTTCTATTTTCTGTTGTTTTTGTCTTTTGTACAGTGTGAAAGGGTCATTTGTATGGTTTTAGGTGCATTTAAAGTTCACTTACCTCGAAGTCTCTTTAGTCCCTGTAAAACTGAGGGGCGGCTATAATGTTTTTAAGAGAGGCTGTAAAGCTGCTGTTGTTCAATCCAAACAATGATAAATCATAAAAGTAATGGAGATTGATGGCTCCTCAACTCATAATTTTTGGGATAATGAAGGTGATAAACATGCCGGCTCAAAACAATCAGTGATACATGAAGGCTAAACCACGAGGTAAGTAGATAAAAATAGTAAAAAGAAAAAGAGAGAGAGATTAAATGCCACAATTTTTTCTCTTTAAAACTGTATTTCATTTCCTGCGAGGTTAGAAGAAGGAGCTAATTGTTTCTCCAAAGCCCTTGTAGAGGGTTATTATTTTATTTTTCTGAATTAATGAAACATAAAACCAATTTGTAAAAAAGAAGAATCTAGATAAGAAAACTATAAATTGTACTTGATTCGATTATTCTACTGGAAAATTATAAGCAAACCACGAGAAAAACGTCAAAATCAACTTGTGTTATAGATTTTCTGTTTCAAAGAATTAATTTTCCCGCGAATCTTTCGCAAGCGGATGTTATTGTGATACAGGAAGTGAAATCGCACAAAGAAACATGTCAATTTTCACCTCCAATTTTCCTTATATGGTGTTGGCTAAACATTTACTTAGGGCCTAGTGGAGGGGGCTCAACAGCTGAGAACCAATCAGCAATAAAGACCCCCCATGGCCCTGGTGAGGAGGGTAAGTCGAGCGTCCTTGTTGTCGGCCATCGAGAGTTTCTCTTCAGTTTGAAGTTTTCTTTGGGATTTTTCTGGAGATCGTGGGTTCTGATTGTTAAACAAAGCTGACTGGGGTCTGAGGGCCGTGGATCGAGATTTCTGATGGTAAGTTCAAAAGAAATGTGATACATTTAAGTAATGTTTACGTTCTCGTTGTGGGTTTTTTTCTTCGCGATGTATGTTCCTCGCTTCCAGTATTTCATCATTTACCGTAATTTTGGAGTAAATGAATGTGTTCCAAGAATTACTGCAACAAAAAGCTATCTAAAACTGTTCCTTAGAGGAGGATGAAGCTTCCTTTGACTTATAAACTGAGCAGAACAGCACGTTAAAGAATTTTCGGGAGATTCCAAGTGATACACTTGTTTGAGGCATGGAATAACTTGTACATGCAGTAGTGAATGTTCTTATCGAGAAAACATTATAAACTTTATGTTCATTCACTTCACCATATCTTACAAATGTTCCTGAAGCTTTTTGTTCTTTGGAGATCACTGTATCCTATCTGTAAAAGGCTATAAAGCTGGATAAACGTCCAACTGTAACTTACTGACTGGACTAGATATGCCCTTCATTCTGTTCAAATCCCTAATTGTAATGTTTGTCAATGTAATTTTTGATGAGAATGAAGCTTACTTTAAATACAACTAGGTTATTTTTGAAGATAAGATTATCCAGTTGCTTTTTAACGAGAATTTAGACCGAAAGATTGAACGATTGCTCTGAAATAGACGTGCTCTGTCAACTCGATAGAGTGTCCGCTCGTTTTGTTTACGAATGTCCATTCGAAGTTTTCGTGCATGCCTCCCTGTATAAGGCAGTTTTTTCATTGATGAGGATGCAAAGACCTCTGTCCTGTTAAGTTGTAAAGGAGAATTTAAGTGTTATATAGAGTTTACATTCCTTGAAATGCTGTTTCTTTTTTGAACGAGGAAACTTCTCTCAATAATACGTTGCACGACGTTTTCATCAAATCAACAGTCGTGGCAGAAGAGCCATGCTTGCACTGAAATGTGAAAACGGTTCTCTCTTCGTGGTAAATCTTTGCAAAGCTGCTTTATTCTTCTGTCCTGGCCGTTGATTAAAGCAGCACATTTGGTAACCGCTGGTTCTATGACAAGTCGACATTCGATCTAAGGAAACTTGGGATAAGATCATCTATAATTCAAAGCAACTCCCTGCTCACGTCATTTTAGATTGCTCCAACTCGTTCCTTTTCGTTCTTTCGTCTTTCACCAGGCACAGTCTTCGGAGGAGCCTCCATTCTTAACCGTGGGGACTGATGTTAGTGCCAAATATCGCGGAGCTTTCTGCGAAGCCAGCGTGAAAGTCGTGAAGAAGCTTGTCAAATGCAAGGTAGGCTTACAGTGAAGTGAACATTGTGTTGGCTTACCGGGCACGAGTTTGATACTCGTGTATCCGTGTGGGTTGTGTTTCCTGTGCTTTTTAACTCTCTGAATATATTTATTTTTCCTTTTGCAGATAACGCTTGCTAAAACAAATGCATCCCTCACAGTCAATGATGATTGTGTAAAGGGCTCTTTGAAGGTGAATTTTCTTTTTATTGTATGGGTTTCAATGAATGTTCCTCTCGACAATGTCTTACTTCGCTTGCCCTCGTGTTGTTATGATACACTTGTCTTTGAGCACTTCAAAATTATTTTCTGAGGTTATTTCTCGTTTTTTCAAAGGTTGGAGCGGTTGTTGAGGCCAAAACTCCTGAAGGAGTGATGGAAGGAGTCATCACTAAACTCACCGATGCTAGTGTTTACACCGTTGGTAAACATCAATGATTTTTCTTCTTATCTGTGGTTTAGCTTAGGAAAAGAAACTTCCACAACACAGCTGAACCATAATAAGTTTCCAATTTCATTTTTGTTTACTTTTCTTTTTCAAGTTTTTGACGATGGTGATGAAAGAACATTGAGGAGAACTTCTTTGTGTCTGAAGGGGGAAAGGCATTTCAATGAAAGCGAGGTATGTAATTGAAAAAAATCATTATTCCGATCTGTTTCTTTCATTGTTAGGTCACTGATCAGAGAGTGTAAAGAAGAGTTACAAGCCTTTGTTTTTGTTTCCTTACTCTTTAGACTCTAGATCATCTACCTCTGACAGATCCCGAAAATTTTGGTACTCCAGTTGTACAGGTATATATGAACTGCTAATAAAATTATTGTTGCTTGTAAAAACTCCAATTCTTAAGTATGTTTTTATTCATGATCATATCATTTGAACACTTGTTGTTCACTGTTTTGCATTGTAGATTAGACATTTTTATATTCTTTTACATTGTCATCATCTTATATAAGAAAGTCAATTTTCTTGAAATATCCACAACTTGTTCTCCCCTTGGCAATTTGTAACAAATAAAGATTTATTCAGAGAAGAGTTTGGAAGCCTAAAGTATTGAATCTATACTCATAAAAACAGTCGTAATATCCAAAGGAAAAGACTGTTTTCCTATTAGTATACCTTTTGGACTTGACTGGAAGGTTGTAAGACTGACAAATAACAATAATTTGCCTTGCGATCCAGTCAACGGTAACTAGAGCAAAATAATATCAGGTAACTGATTGGCATCAACATTTGTAAAAAGGTTGAGACATACAAGGGCTAGAAGTGACAGGTGATAAAGCAGGGAGAATTCCCTTTGTTTGTTTCAATATAAATTGTCAATTTCGGGCTTGTTATTGGAACTCAATGAACACCTCATTCCAAAATCATGACGATATTACTTTCCTTTTCTGTTTATCTTAATTAGCCCCATTTGCCTCAGTTACATGTGCAGAATTCAAAAGATCTTTTACCTTGAAATGAGACACTTCTGGCCAATTGTTATAAGAAAAAACGAAAACTTAATTTGCCTGCATGTTGAAATAATGTGTATAAAGTAATTCCTTATTTTGAACATACCTTTGAGTATTGTTTTTGTGTCCAAATCATTTTTAGCAAAAGAGTACCGAAAATCATTGTTAAAGGACAAAGGTCAAAGGGTTTCTTATTTGAGAGTTTTTTGACTGCAACAAATTGATGTATTCAAATGTGTTGACTTGTTGAGTGAAATGTTTGTATGATATTATTTCGCACTTAAACTTGTTTTACATGATTGTCCCATGATTGGATTAACAAATCTCTCAGTGATTTTGCTACAAATAGTGATGGTGCGTCCTGGGACTCGTCTTGTGAAAAATCATGAGTCCCTGTACAGAACCAATGAGTCCCACTAATAAAAAGAGTCTGAAATTGAAAATACTTGGTCCTTTATGTCTCCAAAACTCTGTATTACAGTGTACTGAAATATATTAAAATATAGTCGTTCTATTTTAAAGCACAAGAAAGGGTAAATGAAATATGCATCATTAAACAACAGCCATAATAACTGCCACAGAAATTACATGAATGAGATATGATATATCGTGTCGGTGTTTATAAATGCTTGTCGCGTCGGCTTTGCCGTCACTGTCGCAATTTGGCCGAGGGAGGTTGTCTCTTTTCGCGATTTCGTTTTATGCGCTGTCGCTACTTTTTGGGCCATGTGGCTTCTTGGAATTTACCCTGGCAGGGCCTCTACAAATACACAGGTTCAGATCAATCGACCGATCTCTACATCCTGCGGAACTCATGCCATGAATTATTTTCCATTTTGGGGGATTTTTATGTGTCAGGGACGCAGAATGCAGAGGTAACAAAATCACTGATCTCTCTTTTCAGTGTACATGTAAACTATTTTGTACTTGCATCCATTGTGTCATGAGGTACAAAATTGCCCTACATGGTATGGCAGACTGTTTACCAAAGGATTTTTGGCAAGAAGGCCATTTGGATTACTTGGGCGTTTTTGGCCTATATACAGGATGGCCTGAGAAAACAGCCAAAAGTTTGCATGTGAATTGACGTTTGAGGAATGAGTGCAGAAATTCGAAACTGATGACTTGTCACTCCTCAGTTCCAGGTGGTGCTTCTGACTGGTCTTGCCGCAAGATAAATTTGCGTCAACCAATCAAAAGCACAACACAGATCTTGGTATAGTGTCATGGCATTAGTATGAAATTTTCTGCTCTTGTTCCTCTGATATCATTTTGTGGGGAAACCAGTGTTGGCATTGCAAAATGTCAGCTGTTTTCTCAGGATAAGTACAGGACAAAATTGTTGCCCAATTGCATAGATGGAGCTGTTGAGTTAAAATGTGCTCACCAAAAGTTAAAAACTAATTGCCATCTTAGCTACCAATATCAAAAGACAGCTTAACTGCATCAGCATCAATTCAAATGTGTTGTCTGCTTATTTTTCAGGATGGAAAGAAAAGGAAAAAGCGAAGATTAAGTCAGGCAACAAGGTAATATTTGTAGTTAGCTGTCACTTGCTTCTTTAAAGCTCATTGATTCCAGGGTCAGTGTAGACTTGAGCATCCTTGATTGCCCTTGTCCTACAGTCTAGATATGCTCCAGGTAAACATGAAACCTTGTTGTAGAGAAACTGTATTTTTCACCTTTAGTCTTACACTTCCTGGGGCGACTTCTGACAAAGTAGAGGGCTGGGTGGAGCAATGGTGAGGGTACTCACCTTCCACTAATGTGGTATGGGTTTGAATCCCCAAGGCGATGCCTCACGTTAGTTTGTTGTTGGTCCTTGTCCTTGCACCAGGAAGTTTTTCACCAGGCACTCCAGTGTCTAGCCTGCGAATGGCAGAAGTTTCTCCTCGCTCATGAGAGACGCAGCTGAGAGACGTTTCGCGAGGAGGAATGTTTGCGACTCAGTGACAGAAATTCCATACTGATGATGCAAAATCTGTCCGGAATCCAGTCAGAAGCTCTAATTGGTTGACAGAGTAGTTTCATTGTTTTAGCTATTGTTTACGAATGACAGATAAAAGACAAAAGTCCGCAAAGGTCAAATGTAAACTGGATAATCTCCAACAAAACAGCCAATATTTGTGGAATGTAGTCTTCTCTAGAAGAAGCGTTTGAGTTTTGCTGGAGCTCATTCGCGGATGAACACAACACTTTACCAAAATCAACCAGGAGAAACGTAAAATTGAACAAATTTGCATTTGGAACCCCATGACTACCGGATTTATTATGTAAACATTGATTTATGTCATCAGTATGGAATCTCTGTCGCTGAGTCGCAGACATCCCTCCTTGCAAAACGTCCCTCAGCGGCGATGAGCGAGGAGAAACGTCTGTTGTTCACAGGCTATGCAGTGTCCCCTGTCCACAAAAAAGCAACATTCCCCAATTCCAATTTCATAGAAATATTAGACAAAAAGTACAGTATGGATGTGCCACCTCTGAATCATTGTTTATCATTTTTTTAACTTTATTCTTATGGAATTTACTTTAGAAAAAGTAAGGTGTTTTGTCCCCCCCCCCCCCCTCCCTGCTCCTCTTTTTCTCGGTTTACCTTCGCAAACAAAAACCACCTGTTGCCCACGGGAAGAGGGAGGGGGGCAGAAGCAAAAGCGGGTGTGTTTTAATCCTTTGGTGGTACCCGCAAAAAAGATTAGTTTTAGGGTTTTTCTTTTGGTCGGGAGGGAACAAAAACACACCCCAGTCACAAAACAAAGAGAGAGTGGAGCAGAAGTAGCAGCTGGTTTGTTACATCCTTGAGGTTGCACCCAATAACAGAATTGTCTTGAGGTTTTTGCTGTCTTTTGGAGACATAATAAACTTATGTATTTTATGTTGGTTTTCAGTCTGGATGACTCTGAGACAGAACGAGATGAACAAAGTGGCACTGCACCAGCTCCTTCGAAGAAGAAGTGTTTGTTTGATGACAGCATTGTTGGCAAGGTACAGTCGATGTTTCTTATTAAGTGAATTTGAGTGCAATTCATCCAAAAATTACAAAGGCATTGTTATTAATTTAATAATATTATTCCTTCGTTATGTTCATGTAGGTTGTTGTCGTTGAAAGTGGATCAAAAAGAAGAAACATGTGGTTTCCTGCATTGGTAATGTTTTTTATTCATTGGCTTGTTTTGAAAATTCTTGATCTTTTTACCTTTTAATTACAAGTCTCAGTTTCTCTTGTCAGTAATGATCAGCCTTTGATCCAAATTGTTAGAGTTATTGCACCGATATAGGTGAAATTGAATGATTGCACTGAAACTTCAACAAGAATGTTTGTGATGGAGCATGTACTTTTTGGTCATTTGGTCAACATTGTTTTTGTTTCCATAGGGGGTCAATCCTAGTAAGAATGAAGTTGATTTGATCAAGTCAAAAGATAAATGTCTTGTACGCTCATTCAAAGATGGGAAATAGTAAGTAATTAATTAGCAATGATACAGTTACAGTGAATATCCTGAATAGCTTTAGTTTTGCTCATGCTTTATGGCTAGTCATTTTATGCCTAGTGCATTTTGTTAATATCAGCTGTAAGCGAGGTTGCTATAGGCTTTCTAGGCCTCAAAATTGCGACTCACTGGTGGCCATTGCGACTAAAAATTGAGGACTGGTGACTATATTTTCATGTGAAACTCACAAAACCGTGAATACCAGAAATATTTATGGAATGTTGTTGTGTTGTGAGAAATAAGCCAATAAGGCACGAGATAACTAAACCGCCAACAGCCACGGTAATTATTTTGTGGTTTTTGAGGTTTGCTTGCATATCCTGAACTTTATTGTGATTGGCCAGTACACAGTCAACATTCCTGAAAATTTTCAGATGTTCACGGTTTCTGAGTTTGACAGTAATACCTGGTCATGAACTGGCGAGTCATGTTATGTTTCAATAAGATAACAGCTGTTACCCTCATCTCTAATATTATTATATGGCATTGTGTTTCAACCTGGCAGTAAAACTAAGTAGCTTTCTGTGTTGTTCAGCAGCTCAAGCACTGCACAAACAAAATTACAGTACATGCAGTCTACAAGCACTGCCTGTAGGATTTTACATAATCACAATTTTAAAATTCACAATCCTCTCATGGTACACATACTAGGAAAAAAGTGCGGCAGTGTGAACTGCAGTATTCTAAGAATAGATTCTATTAATACTACTGCCAGTGACTTGTATTTTGTAAGAAGTCCAGAAATTTACAATACAAATGAATGTTCAAATGATTCCTTGTGCTTTGCAGTCATGTCATAAATGTTAAGGATACAAAGGATTTTGCAAAGGATCAGGATCCAGTACATGCGGTACTGAAAGGAGAAAACAGGAAGTTAAAAGCAGGTATGGTTTGGGATACTCCACATAACTCTACTCCATGAACATAGAAAACATTGAGGAGTTGAAGAACTTCAGCTACAGCCAAATTAGTTCAGTCAGTAGGCCAATTGACTGCAGAGTGGGAGGCCCAGTTTTGATTCCCGGGGCCGGACCAATACTCAGGGTCTTAACGTAACTGAAAAATGAAGGTACTGCCTTGGTGTTGCAAACAGCAGGCTCAGATGACCATGAAAAATGGTGATCCCATCTCCAGTAGGAGATGTAAAAGTAGTGTCCCCAACTAGTACTTTTCTGCTAAATACATTGACACCCATATTAAGTGTTTTAATTTTTCTTCTTAATAGCAGTTAGTGGATAGAGTATAGACCGAAGCACAGAGAGAAAAAAAGGAGTGAATCTTTTCTGTTCTGTGCAGTCAATAAAATTTTAGTTTCACCAGAATGTAAAGATGGTTGTCAAAATTGGTGAAAAGTACAGAGAAATAGATTTACGGCAAGAAGATAGTCTCTTAATGTGTTCTTTGTGAATCCCACAATCATTGATTTTGATGTAAGTAAAAACTAAAAGATTTTGACTTAACCTTTTTAGCTGTTGAAAGAGCGATAACATATCAAGGAACAGGGAGGATACCTGGAATCTGGGAAGAGAATGCTTCCGATGTGATTGTAAATGAAGACAGTGAAGAAGATTCCAAAAGACTCCAGTCTTCAGAAGATGAGAGCAGTGTGGATGAGGATGATGAGAAGAAAGCTTTTAAGGAAAAGCTCTACACGTTCATGAAGGAAAAGGGTAGGCATGCTTTCTAATGCAAGGCTGGTATTAAGTTTATGATCATAGAGGGCTTTAGATTCCCAGACAAGGATGACTTCTAGATAAAGATTTTCTCAATACAAACTATCATTTTGGTGGGAAAATGCTATAGCCTTTTCACTCTACTAAGGGGTTTTAGCGGATATTTGGTAGTGACAGAAACAAGTTATCTACAGTTAAATCATTTTGAGATCGGCAAAGGGCTCAACTTCTTTCAATAAAAATAACCGTGTAAACTTTTTTGGCGAAAAAAGGTATAAAAATGAAGCTTTCGGCAGTGTCTACTTTGTGAAAAGTCCCCAAAAATAAGAATACAATCTTGCCCTCGTAGTTATCCTTGTCCTCAAATCTAAAGGTCTCTTATGGGATCTATCAGGGGAGTAGGATGGCTGAGAACTTTTTCTTTTAACCATGTGGTCTGGGTTCAAGTCATGGGGTGAACACCTCATCTAGGTTGAGTTTCTTGTTGGTTATCTTTTTATCCCTGAGAAGTTTTTTCCTGGTATTTTGGTTTTGTTCCCTCCTCAACAATTAATTTTTCCAAATTCCTTTATGTGTTTACATATTGCCCTCCAAATTCTGCTAAAGTGAGAGTTAATGATTGTAATTTTTTTGGACATTGTCATTATTATTTGGTTTTATTTTAGGAACACCTATTTCAAGACCTCCAGTGCTTGGAAATCAAGATTTAGATCTTCACCGGCTTTATAAAATAGTCCAGGAACACGGTGGCATGGAAAAGGTGGCTATCAAATAACAGTTAACTAAAAAATTAATGTCTTGATTGATTGAAAGGGTGCAAAATAAGGACGTGAATCTGACGTAATGTCAAATTTAACTTGGGCAATTTGAAGGCTGTCTAATGGGAGATTATGTTAAGACTGGCAGAAAAGTTGTGTTGTGGGGCAAACTAGATGATTTCATTTTGTCTTGAAGATTCCACATAAAACTGTTTATAGTAGCATTACCTTCACAAAAGCATTATTGAATTCAGAGGTCCTGAATTTTCCCAATACTAGATAGCCTAAAATTAGCTTTCAGGTTTTTTTTTTCTCCACATCAGTGTATTTTTAAATGGTTTTAATTCATGAGATTTCTTAAGGATTTTTATATGGTCACATGCGATTTGAGATCAGTCATGCAAAATTGCTACATGGCATAAATATCAGAAACCCTAAGGATAGAAGCTTAGAGAACCTAGTAATTTACCACGAGGTTCTAGGGGCCTTTTTTTTTTTCTCATGGGTGAAAAAGATCATCTGAAACAATGGGCTTGGTAAGAGGATCTGCGTTGGCTCGCAAAAGTTAGTTTTATTTAGCAAGTGTATTTATTTTGTTTTGTTTATTTTCATCACATTCTAGGTCTCAACTGAGCAGTCCCTCTGGAGAAAAATTTATCGGCAGATGGACATTCCTGTTGTTCCACCAAGTGCATCACATCATATTAAAATGGCTTATAAAAAGTATGATGCATAGTATACTTGTCATACATGCCATTGTTCTACCATCTTTATCAATTTTTTCTTCTTTTTGTTTTTTTCTTTTTGGCTTGATGCATAGTAAACGATTTCGTATATTGCCTTTTGGTTACTGAGTATTATTTGGCACGTGGATGTGTGTTGTTGAAATCTCTGTCTCTTGCCGTTGTTCTTTGTGAAAGCCACAGTCGCTGTCCAACAATTACTAGAGGATACTAATTTCATAGGAATTTCTTTAAACCTGTGAATTAAGTGTGTTATTTATTTATTTATTTATTTGTTTTATTAATTTTTTCACACTTAAATAATGAGTACAAAAACCACAAATTACTTTACACCACTACAGATCAACGAAACACAAAACATCCAAACAAATTTAAACATATCCTTAATAAGACTATTATCACTTCTCAGAATGTCCTCATACATGTATATTGCCAGTGGGAATGTGCTCAGTATTGCATATGTCTTTTTTTGTTGTTCTGTAGATATCTTTACCCCTTTGAACTTCATGAGAAAGAAACCCTGAAGCCCTCAGTTAAAGAGGAAGTCATTGAAAGGAATTCCCATGACAAAAATATCAAACCTGAAAGTCCAGAGAGTCCTCCAGATAGCAGTGATGAGAAACACTTGGAATGTTTAGAGCCCTCCCTAGATATTGACGAAGATCATGAAGAGGTCATAGTCAAAAAACAGAGTACACGGATCAAGGAGATGAAACGACAGCAAAGCCGGGACCTTGAAAACAGCATGCTTAGTGAGTCCCAGACCAAGAGCCCAGAGGAAGACGTGTCAGTTGATGTTGTCAATAGCCCCGAGTCCTCATCTGATGTTAGTGAACCACAGTCAGATAGCAAATCTGATATTCCTGTTGATGAGAATACTTTTGAGATAGGTGATAAGATTCAAGTCAAGTATGGACGGGGAAGAAATCACAGGCTTTATGATGCCAAGGTAAGATATTCATCAGTAAAGTCACGGTAAAGTTTTACCATTGATTCTTAAAATCGCTCAAGAATTTTGGCCATGATACAAATGTACGTACTATTTTTAGGCCATCGCGCAGCCTTTTAGTGTGCGGCAAGAATCTCGCAAGAGTGTGTTAACTTACTTTTCAGTGGTACTGTATGTAGTACTTCCTAGAACTGCTGATAATACAGTTTAGTCCCTTGAGCTCTAATTATAACTTCAATCTGTAAATTACTACTAGTTTCTTAAAGCCATCTGTTGCTGTTCAATTCTACTGAATAATTATTATTGCATTATGTTCAGTGAAAGTAAACAGTAAACTTCTTTGAGCTGGCTTGATTTTGTGCGCAGATTGCAGATTGCAGACTGCACAGATTGCAGCAGTCCTTTTGTACCCAAGTATTTCAGGTCAAGTTCAGACTGTCCTCAAGCATTGACTTACAAAATTAATATTAACTTTAAACACTGAAAGTTTAAAACCAGTATAGTCTTTTAATCTACCCTCTTTTAGGAAGTTTTCTGAGTGCATTCTTACCATGCACGTGTTTTATTTTAGATTATCCACATTGATTCAGAGGCCAATGAAGGGACACTGTACTGTATTCATTACGCAGGATGGAATAACAGGTGTGAAACATTAAACATTAAAATTCTTCAGGTTTGAATTTCATTGGATTAAGAAGAAACGACTGGGGATTCTTGGTTGCTGATAGAGGGGGTTCTTAGTTTATGTAGAGGATGGGCAATAGCAATTTTTTAGTGGGTGGGGGGGGGTGGATCTTTTTCTTATGGGTTTTAGGGGTAGATTTATTAAAAATTTTCCCAATGTGGCTGAAGGATGGGGGCTTCAAAAAATTGCAAGGGAGAAAACCTTTTATCACCATAACCCCTGTCAATACAATTATGAAACCCTTCCCGAAATCTCATATTGTGACGTGTGTTTCTTTGAAGGTATGATGAATGGATAAAACCTGAGAAGATTGCAGGCTGGGGAACCAGGCAAACCAGAAATAGAACTGGTAATGTTGGCAAAGTTCAAGATTCCAAGGCAACTCCAAAGCCAATGACACGGCCCACTGCTAAACCTGCAGGCAGACGGTCATCTAAGGCAGCAGCAGTAGCGCCGGCACCAGTCAAGGAAGTTAACACCAAGCAGTCACCAGCATCAAACATCACCAAGAATTCATCAAAAAGACCCTGTTCACCTTCAACAAGGTCCGGCTCATTGTCTCCATCTCTTGGAAAGTCATCTAAGACAAGCTCTGGGAGAGGAACTGCCCGTACAAGGTCGGAAAGGAACTCTTTGACAGAGATGTCAAATGGACTGGATGAAGGTATGGAGAGAAATAATTATGATTCTCCTACAAAAAATTGTGTGTGTGGTTAAAATTTAAAGGAGCATTTACTGGACACCCTGTGTGTACAGTCGATTCCCAATAATTCGAACCCTCAAGGGAGATAGAAAAAAGTTCGAGTTATCAGGAGTTTGAGTTATAGAGGGTAAAATTATGTAGAAATCAATTTGAAAGGAAATTAAAATTGCTTCGAGTGAGCAGGAAGTTTGAGTTACTAGGAGTTGACTGTACCATGTAAAAAATTTCCCCCTCTTTGAACTTCTGTTGAATCCATATAAAAGTTAACTCTGTTGGTGCTGTATTGTATCTTTTTCATCGTGTAACAGTTGCCAAAATATAATGTACATATGTTATAAATGCATATGAGCGCTAGTAAACATTTTTTGTTGTTCAACAGTACCTTTTTTCTGTTTTCAGTGAAAAGTCCATTATCAAGAAGGCGGCAAAAATCAGCCACCCCAGAACCTTCTTCCCTTGGTAAGATAAAAATTAATGCCATGGACACTATGCTATTCACAGAGCATAAATTAAAGGAGCTTTGTCATGGCTGTCAATTTCATTTTGTTAGTAATGCCAATAAAGCATCCTTATTCCCTATGAAACTTGAGGAATTACTTCTGAATGACAAGATCACAGCTTTGTGTCAGAAAAATTATTATGTCTCCCAGGTATTACTTCAAATATAACTATTTACAGTCAAGCCAAGTCAAGCATACCCCCCAAGATTACATTAATGAATTAATTATTCGAAAGTTGAACCTGTTGGTAGTTGTACATTTCAGATTCATCTCTGCATTCTTGCATGCGTAACGAGCCGTAAATTCACACGCGAGGCAGTTACGAAATTGTTACCAGCTCAGTTTCCCTGAATTTGATGTAAATGGCGATTGTCTTCTATGAAATTTAACCCATCTGACTAAATACAGACTAAATCTGACTAAATACAGAGAAGTTCTCGTAAAATATTCACTACTCATTACGCATGCAGGAATGCCGATTTGAATTTGACACTAGTTACCGGAACAACTAACGGATTCATTTCTCAAATAATCAATTCATTAATAGAATTTTGAGGGGTACGCTTGACCTGCCTTGACCATAACAACAAAAATGAACTTCGAAAAAACCATTAGGCCAAGAAGTTTTCCAAACACCCAACTGCAGTCTGTTTCAATCTTGTTCAAGTATGTCCATGTGTGTGTTCTTTTATATTTATTTGCTGTGTTATTATTTTTATCCCTTCTTTTCATGGTTTGAGCGTTTTTTTTTATGTTTCACTGAATTTGGTGGCGGTTCCTTCCTGAATTTTGATAAAAATTTTGTGACACAGCTCCTTTAAAAGCAGAGCATACAAGCTCAACAAGCTCTGATTAGACTGTCATTGCTCAAGTATAGTTGTATAGTGATAGTGTGCAGTCTGTTTCTCCTGAAATGCAGGGTGCAAAGATAGTCAGTTTCACAGCTTGCATTTGGGCTGGCTGTAGCTAGCATGTACTGGCCCAAAAGTCATTTCAACCAGCCTAAAAAAAATTAGAGAGGAGGATTAATTACAGTTCTTCTGTAGTTTGAATTCTTCAAAAAACCAGTTGCCCGTTGAGCAATTTAAGAACAGAATTCAGTAGCCTTATATCAAAATCCACTAGCAGTGGGCTATCAGACATGCATTTCTCTGCTCGCTGAAATGGAGTGTCACAGTTAGGCCCATAGTATAGGGTTAGATTGAACTGTTACTAAGGCTCTTAAATAGAGACTCGAACCCCATTTTGCTTTATTTAACAAGACTGCATCTGATCAGTTCCTTCTTGTAACACTTATAGTGGGTATAGGCTCTGACTAGTCATTAAAAGGTCTGTGTTTTCTCTCCCACTCACAACATGGTCGTGCATGCAGTCAACCCTACTGTTTACCTGACAACAGTTAGCAGACCTTGTAATCTACTTACCCACCCTCTTCATGTGGGGGAGCAAGAGTGGGGTCGTGGTGAGAGCATTCGCCTCACACCAGTGTGGCTTGGGTTCAAATCCCGGCGTCGACGCCATATGTGGGTTGAGTTTGTTGTTGGTTCTCTCCCTTGCTCCGAGAGGTTTTTCTCCGGGTATGCCGGTTTTCCCCTCTCCTCAAAAACCAACACATCCAAATTCCAATTCGATCTGGAACGCACGGACACGTTTAAACGAGTTCATATGAACTCTTAAGTGCTTCGTGGGTAAAAAAAGCAAAAAAGCAATGTCTTTTAGCTGCAACTCTTGTTGTGTTGGCAACTTTTTCCCTCCCTTACTTGATGTGGTAATATTGTGTAATAAGTAACTTTTTAAGTTCTCTATAGTTCACATATAGATGTCAGTAATTATTATAAGAATCATTTCTCCAGACATTGTTGGCTTAAAAGTAATCTTTTTTTCTTTTAGAGCAACAACACAAGCCTGTAGACTTAGTAAACCATATTCAGCCAATTCCTGAAGCTGTCCCTGAGGAAACTGATAAGAAAACAGCAGAAGAAACGAACAATTCAGTGCCAAGTAGTAACATAGAGGAAAATCATAACAGCCCTGCTCCTTGTGAAAATGGAGTACTGTGTGAAGTTCCTGATGCAGAGCTAAAATCTGAGCAGAGCTCTAATAACTCCAGTGGAAAAAGAAAAGACAAGCATAAAAGAGTTGTTAATGGTTTAGTAAGGAGTCTTAGATCTCCCGAGACAGTAGTTAAAGATTCTGAAGACACCAAAGGATTATGCCCTGAACCGAAGAAGATAAAACTAGAACATGAAAGTACCATGCAAGATACAGAAGTAGCACAAATTATGAGCGATGGTACTTCAATTTCAACTCCTAGTCAACCACCACAAACGAAGGGTACCCCAACTGCTGTGGAAATCGTTTCAAATTCTTCAGAGGAAATGAAACCAACTGTTGTTAATGATGCATTGGCATCAAGTTCAGGACAATGTAGCTATCACGAAGAAAAGGCTAATACGCCAGTTGAGAATAGCTCGATGGATTCAAATGTTAAGAACTCTGAACTTGATAAAAAGGAAAAAGATTCCAAAATGGAAAAGAAAAATGCTGAACACCATCATAGGAAACATAAGAAGAGAAAAGAGAAAAAGAAGCACCGTCACGCATCTGGTAATGATAGTACTGGTAGCGATGCTCCAGGTAGTCCTATGTATAATCAGCCCTTGGGGGTGTTTCCGTCCCCTCGGCGTCCAAGAATTTCATTTGACATGGATTTAGGTGAGGCTAGAGAAATAAAAATTCTTTCAAATTAATTTAGATATGTAATTACTATCCTCTTCTCTTATGGGGCCTTTCAGGGATAATGAAACAAATCATTCTAAAGGAACATAACATGGTTAAGAATTCCAACCAGTAGAGGGCCAACTGGTCGCAAACAATTTAAACATGTGGGGCCAAGGATCCTAGTTTATTCTGAGAGTATTGTTCAGAGTTTTTTGCAGTGTTGTTGCAGAATTGTGTGTGATTGTAATCATCATCATCATTGCTGAGTTCAGTTTCTTCAAAGAGCATTGTTCAAAGCTTTTATTACCAATGATCTCCTTATATTATTTTCATATGTCAATGTTTTCATTATTGTTCCTCCCATTTCAGAGGAAATTAAAGCAAAAGAGGATGGTTGTGAACGAATCAAATTACTTCAAGATAAAATCAATGAAATGAGGAAAGTTTATAGTAACCTAAAAGCTGAAGTGGCTAGCATTGACAGGAAGAGGAAGAGACTTAAGAAGAAAAGAGGTGGGAGTTTTGTTGTTGTTGTTGTTGTTTTTGATTAAAATAATGTCTGGTTCTGCTGCAGGGTTCGCACAGTCTTTTGTAGGGGGAGTCCTTGAAAAGTCCTTGAATTCCATTTTTCTTTGAAAAGTCCTTTAAGTTCTGTGAAAGTCCTTAAAAAGTCCTTGAATTTTCTTCAAACTTTTTACATGTATATAGCTGAGAGAAGTTAAAGGTGATTTACATAAAGGGTTGTTTGCTTTAAGCAAGAATTAACTATCAATTTAAGACAAGGAACTGAAAATTGTAGAGAAGTTAGTGGAGCTAACAGTTCAAGCATTAAAGTCCTGTTAGATTAGACTGGAAATGTGGATTTTTGTACAATCTGTTAAAAAACATTCCCAGCTGGTTGTCCTTGAAAATCGTGTGAAAATCAAAGTTTAGTTTACTCACCTCCACTTCTCCACTGCTTTAAAACCTTAAAGGGGGGGGCGAAATTCTAAGGATTTACTGAGCAGCCTATGCCTGGAGAGAATGTTGGCCACTGTGATAGGAAACACACAGCAAATCAATAAAAATATTAAACATTGAAGTAAGTAATCAAAGAAAAGCATACTATGTTCAGCAAAAAATATACCAGCACTTGGAACATCAAAGGCATGGCAAATTTGGAGGATAATTTCTTATATATGTTGTTTTTATTGTGTTTTTTTTTTTAAATTTGAAATGAACAGAAGCAACAGAATCTATTGAAGGTCAGGATGTACACAAGTCTCTACAGTCATCATCATCATCACCATCGTCACATGCTGTTCCTTCTCCCAGCGTCCCACCTGTTGAGTGTAGATAACAAGCATATTTTCTTGCTGCTGTATAAAGCTTGATTGTGAGTACAGTCATGGTACATCTTACGCGTTGCTAGTAATGCAGATGGAGTTGAAACACTACTTTTAAATGAGCCTTAACAGGGTGAAAAATTATTGCTTGTGAATGAGTAATCTTTTTATTGTATTCTTGAAGATTTTATCAAATAATATATCTTTTCTAATAAAACTATTAATACACCTTCCATCATGCTTAAACTTTACAAGTTTGACTTTGAAGGTTGCCTGCATCCTGGAAGGTATTTTTACCCTGTTTTATGGCCGGTTAAGAAAGTACATTTTCCATCCAAATTGCTAAGAGATATGTGGGTCCTAACTCAAGCAAAATAATTATTATTATTTAATGTAGATTCCTTTAATATTAATTATTGTAAAGTATTTGATGCAAAGAAATATTGGTTGTTGTACCAATAACGTTTTTATCTGTACTTGTAATTATATACTAAGAGAACAATATGTGCAATGTTAAAGAATCAAGTCTTGTATTTACTGGAAATTCATGTGTGACTTGCTACAGTGATGCCTTGGTTACCACCAGTGAGCCAAAGATGAAGTGAACTCATCACTACCTGTTTCAAGTAAGATGTAGAAGCCTGAGCATCAAAAGTAGATTAGTCCGTTTGAAATATAGATTCTAGTCTCAAAAGGTCTCAGATATATCAGTATTGTATCCTTCAACTCTATCGCATAGTCTTCGTCAGCAGTGAACTCTCAGTGTTGTCATGTGAATTAAAAATCACGGGAAGGTGATAACCCTTATCTCCATTTAGTACTAAAAAATCTGAGGCCTTTTGATACTAGAAATTATTTTTCAAATTTTAATTTCAAGGTCAAGAATGAGCATTCATGGAATTACCGTAGATTATTGCGGGGTCCTAAGCAAAGGCATTTTTGAGTGACGCATGCAACCGAAGTAGGCTTTTGCATTCTTAGATAGTGGTTTTTTGCGCAAACCGTCTCATTAAGAGTAAAAAAAACTTAGGACTACAAATTTTGTAGCTTCAAGGCGTATTAAGAGGGAAATGGCCTCACTTCTGGTTGATGTGTGTTGCTCAAAACATCTTTGCTTAAGTTCCCTATTTACTAAGGAAACTGTCACGGTGGACTGGGACTGTTACTCGGGACGGGGGAAACGACTGAAAGATTGGCCAATAGCTGACCACCATGTCCCCAGTAACCTTCCCAAAAATAATTGCGGGATGCATTTCAGCTCCAGTCCCCTTCTTATTAGGCTGATTTAGCAACAGGACGGGAACGTCAGTTGACGACGGCAAAACGCGCGGAAAGGACTAAACACGACGTCCGGTGCTCAATTTGCCGCTCTGCCATTGGTCAAGCCAGTTGTTTGATTTGCGCGCGCCGTCGTCAACTGACGTTCCCGTTTTGTTGCCAAATCGACCTAGTATTTATGTGGTGAGTGGATGCTTCAGGGTGCCTGATGGCTTCTGGTGAATTTCTACGAGTAGACAACTATGATGCTATTATTTTCAGAGGAATACCTGCCCGACCACATCTAAAGCTTTTGGAGGTGAAAAAGGTTTATCTCTTTCTGTGTCTTCCTAACTTTTAAACTGGACAGCAAGTGTTGTAATATATTGTTGATGTGGTTGCGGCCCTCATTCAATCCATATTACTATCTTCCGCTGTTTCAGTTTAAAACTCTTTTGTTTGCTGAAGCCAGTTATTTTTATATCGTGATAATTCTTGTCACTGTTTCTAAATACTCCCAACCCAGGCAGGTTGAACCTTGAAGCCAAAAGTGGTCGTGTGATCTCCCAGGTTACGCGGCTGTGTGACATGACTCCCACAAAACTTTTATGTTGTAGAGTGCAATAGTTAGTGACAATGCTCTGTCACTTAAACTGTAAATGATTGAATAATTTTGTTTGTATACATTTAGTCAGATTGTATTTCAGTCCAGAATCAGTTTATCAAAATAGATGTCTATTTATGAAGGCCTTTGGCGCTGCTTATTTTATATTTACTTGATCCAAAAGAAACTGAAATACTCCACGGTATAAAAAGGTAAATTAAACAGTATTTTAAGCTTTTTTAAGGTGATCAAAATGTTTCAGATAAGTCGACTCTTAAAATATGTTCAAGAGTATTTTTATCTTTATTATTTTTTTGATCAAAAGGTCTTCTCTGTTTTCTTTCTTTCTGTTTTTTTTTTTTTTCATTCTTCTCTTAACTGTGCGAGAGGTCTTCAATCTATTTAACGTCTCCGAAGTTGTTTAGGCCAGTGTATGAGCTGAATATTTTTTATTAAACATTGGTCTTAGATCGTCGTAAGTTAGATAAAGAGTTAGTTTGTGAATAGGAAGCCGTATTTGAGAAATATTTACAAAATGGATGCTGACCTTTGCTATTTTGTCTTAATATACCTGGGTAGAAAAAGGTCTTTAGTTCGCTTATATTTAGTTATATCACGTGACTTACAGTCTCTCGTTATCACTTGCGCAATATCCAGGACAAACATGCTACACAGATATCAACGAAAACGGGCTCATTCAGCTGGTGAAAGCAACGATAATTATTCTGGTAAATAACTATCTGAGCGGTGTAAAAGAAAGTTTTAATGTATTCCTTACATATTCATACATGTACCGGTTAACAGTAAAGCAAATTAATTGGTAGAATTGTTGTAAAGGTATTCCGCAGTGCGTGGGTGGCTACGTCAATGTGCAACATTTTTAAGCCTTTTTATTTTATGATGTATTTTAACAGTACCCTCATCTAATTTATTCCCCGTGGATTGTGAATAAAGAATTCTATGCTCAACAAGTATTTCGACCATGTGTAAGGCTTTGCCGGCCATTGATTTCCAAAAAAGTCATCAGCGTAAGCAAGAGAGAATAATTGGACAGAGGCGGGAAATTAAGTTATTTTTGAAGGTTATAATTAAACGGAATTTTAATTCCTGGGGCGTCGGCGCATTTAATCAATCTTTTGAAACGTCATCAAGTCCACGTGTGATTGCCTCAAAGCAAACAGCGCAGAATATTTTAATGGCGACACACCAAGATAGCATAATGTTCCATTATTCTCCCTTACGGACATTGAATAAAGGTTTACGGACCTCTCCGGAAACCAAGTTCCCATTAATTTCAAGCGTTTATTGATCTAAAAACTAGTAATAACCAAAGGTTACGGGGTGCGGGCGACAACGATCGAAGGTCAAAAGGCTTTTACTCCATCTCGCGCTGTGCTTTGCGTAAGTTTCACATGAAAGGTGGTCAAAACACGCGTGATCAGATTACGAGTGTTAGAAGGTCCAAGTAGTGCGTTATGTGCATTCCATTCATTCTTAGTGGAAGTCCAAACGACTGCTGGCTACAAACATGCGACGCATGCGTAACAACAACCTGGAGATTAGGACTGCGGGCTCCTCTTGTCGCCCGCAATAACTTCAGTGAAATCCCAAGGGCGTTTCCTTCTGTGTCCCGTTATTCTCTCTTGGCTTAAGATACTTTACTTTCTTAAAGTGCATGAAAAGCATTAAATTTCAATCTAGGCTGTCTTCCTACTCTTAGTACCAGACACTTCCTTGCACGTTTTCTGGTTTCTGTCAAAGTCGGCCTACACCGAAGATTCCCGCCACAAGCAAGAAAACCCCACTGGACCTAGTGTACTTTCTCGCAGGAAACGAAATAAGACCCTGGGGAAAACTTAGTGCGAGATAAGCGACATTCAACGGCGGATCCAGAAGATTCAGACCGGGACAATGTACTGTCTATTTTACTGATAATTCTTTTTAAAAAATATTGCCAACTTTCGCAGGAAAAGGGGTGCGGGTGTGGCAGCCCCTCGATCACTCCTTAATCCTACCATGACATAAGTTCTTCCCTAAACCCGTTCCCGAGAAAACGGCTCGCCAGGAAACGAAAGTAACCCACCGAAACCCTCGAGTTATATACATGTACATAGTGTTTTTGGTGTAACGCGCGTGTTTCATCTAAGGGTGATCACGTGATCAACGTGGCTTGTTTGGGTGTCGACTTTTCAACGATCTCACGTACCCACCATTTGAACACGGATTGGGTCTACTCACAAAATTCTACTTTCCAGAGTATTATTGCTGTGAAACCTTTTGGTTAACAAGGCGTTTACCCTCTTCGAATAGATAAAACGACATTTCGTTT